TACCGCTCGCCCAGAGAGCGCCGTGCGTCTACTGCGGGATGACATCATACCCCCCCCCCCTCCCCCCCGTTGGCACATGCCATGCATCGGCTTCACGCGTGTTGGATACCCCCCAGGTTCCGCTCGTCTGATAAAAAGCCGACGACCAATGCAGCGCCCGGAGGCGCAATCAAGCCGAGGTCTCGTGTTCCTCGCCTCGATCCTGTCCAAATTCAGGCACTAACGGCAGCGGCGGCCGTGGCAAAGAAATCGGTCCGGCAGCCCAAGTCGGAAGAGAATGTGGAGGGCAAAGAGAGTGGCAGCGAAGCAACTGTAGTAGCGGGTAGGGGAGGTGGCGGTGGGGACGGCAAGACCTTGTCCGGTTTCGTGAAGGAGGGTGCGGGATCCAGCGGAGGTAGCGGCAACAAGACCGCGAACAAGCGGGAGGCCGCGGAAATGCTGGGGCCGGACGCTACCGAACAGCTGGCTGCGGCGACAGCCAAGGTGTTTCTGGAAAAGAGGACCAATAAACGTGAGGCGGCAGAGATGCTGGGCCCCGACGCGACGGATCAGCTGGCGGCGGCGACGGCGAAGGTGAGGGTTAGTGACGACGGGGACGGCGAAGACGCTTCGTTGTCGGCCGGAAAGGACGTAGAGGCGGGCGACAGCTCGGAAAAAGCGGGGAGCCGGCAGGACGAGAGTAAGCGCAAGGCATGCGCGGTAGAGGGTGACAACGAGGGTGAAAAGGGTAGCGGGAAGCGAACGGCCGGTGCTGGCGGGGGCAGTGTAGGAGAAGAAGCCCCGGTGGAAGGCGTGGTGACCCGGCGAGGGGGGCTCAGGAGCGGAAGCACGGGGGGGGGGAAAGATTTCCCGCCAGAGGACAAGACAAAGGCAGAGGACGTTGCGCCAGAAGAGAAGACAAAGGCGGACGGCGTTGAGGTCGCGGAGGGAGAAGACCCTTCAAAGTCGCAGGAAACCGGCGAGGAGAAGGTTGAGGAGGCTGCTCAGTGTGACGGCCCGACCGGCAACGCAGAAGAAGGGAAGCAAGCGGAGAACGTAGAAAACGACGGGGAAACTGAGTCCGAGCCCGAAGTAGAGGCTGGGGGGGGGGACAAGGAGAAAGAGGAGGAGGAGGAGAAGCTCGAAGCCGGCGACGAAGTAGACGACAAGAGCAAAGGAGGGGATGAGGTTGAAGGCGGCGAGAAGCAAGGGGAAGGGGAAGCCGGCGATGGGGCCGAAGGAGAGACTAAAGTTAAGGTCGAGACGGAGGACGATGCCGAGGCCGAGGCCGAGGCCGAGGGCGATGGCGGTGGCAACCATGATGATGAAGATGACGAAGCCGCGGGAGACGGAGAAGAGGAGAGAGTTGACGTTGGGGCTTGGGCTGCGGCTGGTCCGGTTGCTCGGTCTCCCATTGTCATGGTGCGGCACGTCGACACGCTCGAGGTTAGCCCGGGCGCCTTCTGCCACCTGTTCGGGCTGTACGGTGACGTGATGAAGGTGATAACACGTATCTACAATAATTAGAGAGGATTTGTCCTGGCGTGCTGGGGATTTATTGATGGTTTGCAGTGTCGTGGGCTCCACACTCTATCGCATGCAAATACGATGAGCCCAGAAGCAAAGGCTGTTCCTGCTGTGGCACGCATGCGAACCACACCTCTACCCTTACAGTACGTATACCCGTCCACGGCTGAGACCCGACTTGATGTGTGTACTCCACTCCCCAGACGTTTCCGTGTGCCCTGCCCTCACTGCCGTGCGCTACTCTATCGTGCTACTGCTGTATGGTCGCTACCCATTGGTCTTTTTGTTTTTACCAGGTGAAACTTGTTGCCAGCCGAGGGATGGCGCTCGTGCAGATGAGGTACCCCGTCCAAGCTGCCAACGCCCAGCGCCTCCTGGACCAGGTAAGACTGAAAAATGCCCTTCAAGTAGCCTGCAGGGTGTGCGTCTTCTTGTTTCCGTGACGCTGAGCCGCATGTTTTTCGCGTTCCTCCCATCGTCTCCCTGCTCACTTCGTCCCCCTGGCGAGGGGTGACGGCGAGGATGACCTTTCACGTCGGGGAATGTTTCGCGAGACGACCGTGTTTGTGTGTTTCATAGAGTACGTGCCTAAGTAAATTTGTTGCGTCGAGCAAATCTCTGATCTTGTTGGAGCTTCTTGAAATGTTTCACGCCGCCTCTTGGCATCGGTCTCTCTCTCAGCCTGCCGGCCATTCCGCCCGTCCGTGATTTTGCTTGTGCTTGTTTGGACATTCATCCACATTCTGCCGTGTGCCGCCTTGCCGTAAATATTTTGCATACCAGACACCGCTCTCCGGCATGACGATAGAGGTCAAGCCGTCCAGCCAGTGGACTATCAACGACCCAACCGCTACAGACTTCAGCGGGGTCCAAGGGTTGCACAGGCAAGCGCTCCAGCCAACGGTTGGTGTTCAACCGAAAACTACCTGTGTGGTGTAGCGTTTCCTCTCGTCATATTCGGTAGGCGTACCCCACAACTCGTGCTGAGATAGATCGTTTTGCGTTGGACGCTGCTGGTCCATGCACAATTGATCGCCTCTCCTTCCCCCTCCTCCAACGCACATGAACGACCCCCGCCCGTTCTCGATATCGGAAACGATTTTGAATTGTTCGTCAGGTTCAGTACGACCCCTACACCAGAAGACAAGCGCTACCGCGACTCCCTGTCGCCGCCGTGCCCTACGCTGGTGGTGGACAACGTGTCTCCAGACGTGACGGCGGAAACCATCACCTCCATTTTTGCGAAGGTATGTCGCCATCCTAACGCTTGCTTCGTTGTACGCGACGTGATAACGGTACCCGTACGTACGAACGCCATTTGTGTATCAGGCTGCTGTGTATGGAACCCTTCACCAGACAGTTCGAATCTGAAAAGAGCGCTGTGTTGCTTTGTGGTTGACACCTCCGACCGCGCAAACATACAGCATGGACGTGAATACCGTTGTTTCGTGGCTGAAAACAGCTGTGGCTACATGCACCCGAAACCTCGTTGTTGCACAGGAGTAGAGTACTTCAGCTGTGCGCCGCGCTGTCTGATTTGAGAAACATCATTTACTTCCTCCCCGGGTGTCTTCCGATCGCCGTGTATGCCGTAGAGCCCACTAAGCAGGAGAGCTACAGTATTCCCCTTTTCGCGATCCCAACCCTGCTGGAGTATCTAAACAAGCGATAACTCCGCTGTCCCTCGCGTATGGTGCCTTGTCAACAGCATGGGGCGGTGTCTTCCGTAGACCTCGACACCCATGCCAAGGCCCCGTTGGACACGGCATCAGCCCTTGCAAGCACCGGGGGTAGCAACGCTGAGCCTACCAAGCCTTCGGTGCAGGCCCTGGTGCACATGGAAGCGGACGGGAAAGTCCGCGCAACGGAAGCTGCAGTGCACGCGCTCATCATGACCCACAACCTCACCTTGGCGGAGCGCAGGCTGCGTGTATCTTTCCTGAGCGGAGAGCACCATATCGAGAAGTAAAGTAAACCAAGTGGTATTGCTGTAAACGGAAATGGAGAGCGGATTGAAGGATGAACTGATGGAGACAACGGCGGCGTTTGATTGGTATACAGTGGGGATAGATCGGCATGAACTTCGATTCAGTTTGCTTCGGTTCATGTCGTTGGACCTGTGGTCTCAACGCGGCTTGTAAGGGATGGAAGCCGCGTTCTTGGCACGGCGGTATTCTGTTCTTCTAGCCTCGGCAGTGTTCTTGATTTCATGCGCGCTGTCGGTGTGGTTCTGGTGCGCACACGAATCCCGGCACCTTTGCGTCAATGTCAGTCTTGTGAGGAGAGAACAGATTCGCCTGTAGCGTGTATATCACTGATCATGACATTTTGCTAGAAGTTCATTTAGTATCTAAATATCAAGGTGTTTGAGGATTCCCATGAAATCCTTCCTAAGTTTTGCACTCGAATGCCGATGCAACCAACACCTAGAGGAATTATTATGTTGGCACACGGGTGGATGAGTGATGTTGTGGGTTCGAGTGCTTGTACACGATTCGTTATGTGTTCCATGATTCCGTCGGCTTCCATCCAGCAAACCCTGCTAATTCTAACGCAAATCGTGGTGCGGAGGTACTTCGAAGTACTTAGACGTTTTGAGGGCCCGAGTGCCGAAATTCGAAACTGGTGTTCGCTGGATTCATAATCGTGGGGCTGGTGAACGTAGTTGTTTTGATCCACTCATCGAAGATGGAGGTGATACACGCGTGTGAATGGCTAGCAGCGGAGAATCGGATAATATCACGCGATGACATACGTTGATGAGCAGAGTGGAATATTTCGGGCCATGCCTGAGGGCGTGCCCGGTACACACTCTGAACGCGCTTTGACGAGCGTCTTAACGGGTCGAAAGAACATGCGTAATCGATGGCTTGCTGTGTGACAAGTGACCGTGCACGCACCACCAATGCTCGCAACAAGTCAACATGCAAGGGCCCCCTTTCACGGAACAGAACTGCCCGGCTGTACCTACTACACCATTGACGAGATGGATGCGAGCTTGACCGGAAAATGTCTGTTATTCCGTGACAGGCATGCTAGAAACCAAGTTTGGGGGGAAGTCATATACGCCTCGAAGTTCCACAACCTTGGAACGGTGGGCATTCGTACAACATCTTTTCGGGACTTGCATACCATACCCACGCAAGGACTTCCAACCCAGATCGCCGCGCCCGTCATCACGCACGACCCAACTCCCACCCAAGCCGGACCCTCTGTGATCGGTTTTCGATACACACACCTATTGCCAAGCATGTACACACCTTGCACATGGGTCAAATTTCGACACGAAACTTGGAAGCTACAATGAACGTTTGTTTGGGCGAACCAGCTTCGAAACTCCTGAAAGTACCAGCACGGTTATCAAAACCCATGAGCGTGCAGCGAAGATACAAGGTGTGCTGCTTGCTTTCCTCATGTTCTGGCGATGAGTCCACCATGTCTTGCCACCTGCGCGCTACCACTGAAATAATACAACTACCGCGGCCCGCAAGGTGGTGCAGGTGGCGTCGGTGGAATCGAACACGGTGCTACAGTAGTACCCGACACCACCAAGCCCCCAAGCTCGCCCACGAACGGATTGGGCGGCTCTGCAATGGCCGTCGCCAAGGCCGGAGGAGGAGATGGCGCAGGTGCAGCGGGCGAAAGGGTGGACGTTGGTAACGCGCTGACAGCACCGCTACCGGAGGTTGCGACGGAACTGGCCGTGAGGGAGGCTGTTGGATGTGAAGCAACAGCAGCGGTAGCAGCGGCAGCCGAAGCAGCTGTAGCCGCACTAGCAGTAGCCGCAGCAGCCGCAGCAGCGGTAGCCGCAGCAGCGGCGGCTTCTCTAGCGTTGACAGCCTTGGCCTCTTCTTGCCCCTCCACCGTGTACGTCCTCGGCTGCAGCACCGCCGCTGAAGACTCTTGCTCTTTTCCCGTTCTCGCCGCTTCTTGAGCTTGTCTTGTCGCCTCCGCTGCTGCAGCCGATGCCGCCACCGCCACCGCATTTTCCGCCGCCCTTTTTCTCGCCTGGGCTGCTGCTGTGGCTCTAGCGGCCGCCGCGGCGGCCTTGGCTGCCTTTGTGGCGGCTGTGCAAGTCGCCTTGTACGCAACGCTGTAGAAGGGGTCTTCCTCCAGGCTCTTGTCCTGCTTCATCAAGTGCTGCAGGATTTCCAGGACTTGCTGCGGCTCTGGATTCGCCTTGGCGGCTTCCGCCTATGCCGTCGTCGTAGTATGCGAAAAGCAGCACAACAACAGGGTAGAGTAGCATTGGAGAGTTACGGCGACGTGTAGGGGGTGTGCGCAAGTGTTTCGGACGACGAGGAGGACACGGCAAGAAGTTGAACGAAGGAAAGAAGCAAACATTTTCCCTCGTTCTTGGCTTGGCGTTGGCATGGGTACCGACCGAGTCGGATAAACGACAGGTGGCCATCGGCCGTGACCATGGTAGCCATTGGCGTCAGATGAGGATCGGCAAGGCTACGCTTTGCCGGGTAGACGGGGAAGCATGAACCACAGTTATTTCTCCGGTCGTCAAGTACGGGAGAGAATGACCGAGGGCAGCCCCGTAACACGGATTCATCAGGGAGAGGATTGCCGCCGGAGTCCGTTCCGGACCCAAAGAAGGGGGTCGTTGCTGGGGTGGACGCATCATTTTGTCGTGCAGGCAGTGCTTTGTGAGTAGGAGCTTTCCTCTTCACAGTTGGAGTCGACGCGAACAGGAGAAGGATAGCCGCGAAGGCCACAAGCCGGACGTACACGACCTCTGCAGCTTGTGTGTGTGTGTGCGACAAGCAGACGGGAAGTGCAGGCGTATGACCTGTACACCCACCATAGTTGGCAGTCGAATTGCGTATCTATACAATTGTAGAAGTCCAAAGTTGGCAGTTGGCAGTCGACTTGCGCTGTATCTACTGTACGTATCTATAGAAGAAGTGCCATGGTTGGCAATTGGTTGCGGATGTATGCCGTACAAATACATGTATGCACACGTAGTACCACAGTAGTACAGTAGATCCTGCCCACAAAAGTGCAGGTAAGACACGCCCTGACAAGAGATTCGATGCCCCTGTGTGCCGACTACTGCTGTGTGTGGTCCTCAGTCAGTCAGATTACTGCTGTGGTCCTCAGTCAGTCTGGGAGACCAATAATATATTTGTGCAACCTAACAACAGCAGTAAGCAGTGCTGCGAGGTGGATGGTGCACGTCGTGTTGAGGTTGATCTCTTGCGAGATGTGTGGCCTGTATGCTAGGGGCAAGGGGAGAACATGGGATGTGCCTATGGGGTTATGAGCACAATCAGTCTGGAAGAGACAAAAGAAAATGCTGACTACTGACTGCGGTGAGTGGTCCACAGACTAATTTGTCATATATTGCTGTGGTCCACAGTCAGTCTGGAGAAAAATAAGTTTTGTACACACAACAACACCCTCATGAGGTTACATACTTCAGTGCTGGTGAATGTGCTCTGCCTTCGAGCACTGCCTTTTGCCTTGCCTTGCTCAGTGGTGATCGGTGAAAGTTTTGAGGTATGTTTCACTCATTGTTGACAGGGGTGTGTCCTAAGTCGTCGACTTTCGTGCATGATTCTGTACCAACCGTGGACGTGCATGCTTCCCGTCGTGGGTGCGGCTGTACTTGCGACCAGTGGGGGTAAAACTGGGGGTAATGCTGAGGGAGGGGTGGTTCGGTTGTTCGCGCACGGGGGAAATCTACGAATGAGACATACAACAACGGAGGCGTTCTCACGAGGTGACACAAGCGTTAGCACGAAACTCGCAGGAGGGGCCGAACGGGCCAGGAGAGACACCTCTTCCAACCCACACGAAAATCTGTCATTGCACTCTCAAGAAACATGGACCGAAGAAAAACAACCTGCTTTTAGAGAAGAGACCGGAGATCGCCTACTCTAAAACCAAGTGAAATGCAGAGAGTGGGGTCACTTTTTGGTGGGGTAAAAAAAGTGGGGTCGTTTTCGAATATAGGTTCTGAGAATATCGGTGACAGAAACTGAATCCCTATCGGGCTTCAGAATACTCTCGAGACTCGCCACAAGGCCAGCGGAAGCGAGAAAATTCGCCCCTTTCACTTTCCGTGGACATTACTGCACGAATCTTCTCTCGTACATGTATTCCAATCCAAAGACTCTTAACAGGCCCCTTTGGGCCATATTTCAACACCCATCACCTTTAGCACGTTGATTCGTTCGTTAAGCCCGGTTAGTTCCGCCTGCGAGGTCTTGATGCGCTTCGAGATGGACCCAAGAGAGACAGGCCTCCCCCCTCCGATCTCAAGCGCCGTTGCTGGAGATCGGCCGGCGGAGAAACGATACACCTCGGTTACGTGATCCTCTCCCTGCGGTCCAGACAACGGCGATGCGGTACGGGTGACGTAAACCTTTGTGCTCTACCTCGCTTAGCGCCCCCATAAACCAAACACTCAACGGGAAGAAAACGAGCATGACTCAAGGCCATCTACGCCATACCACAACAGCCAGCAACATGATTGTGTATCGTCGCGCGGTTTGTCGGCGTCTTGAGACTCAGAAGCTTCATGACTTTGTATCCCGTGCCTCCTCTTCTGCACCCCTAAAGATTGTTGGCGCTCCCCGCCATCATATTTCACCCCCATTAAAAATACCAGACATTGCTGTTTAGAAAGGGGTTTTGAATCGTCCTCCGCGGATCCCCTGGCGTCTGGAGATGGAAACGGTGTGAGTCCCCTCCACACCAGAAACGACGGGGTGCCTTCGTTACGGTTCAGCTTCTTTCGATTCGTCAAGCAGACACGACGGTGGGAGCGAGAAGCGAAAAGGCACCGCACACATGTGCCAAACCGACACAATTCACCAGCGAGTAATTTTGGGCTCATGAGCGGTCACTATTCTCACCATTGCGTTGGGCGCGTGCTTCCTGACCAGCGTTACGAGACCAGCAGCTCGCAGAGCCTCCATGACAACCTCCACGCGAGCTTTGGAAAGCTTCGGTAGGCTCTGGCCCAGCTCCACGAGGGACATATCTCCGTACTGCAACCATTCAAGGGCCTTGCGGGTGGCGTTCTGGACGCCTGCCACCTTCTTGACCGACACAATCGTATCGTGACTACCGGTAGCAGGAGCAGTGTCAGAAGGTGATGGACTAGCGACTGGAGTGGCAGCAAAGGGGCTGCTTTGGTGCGGCGTTTGTTGCGTTGCTGTTGACTTGCCCTTGCGATTGCGTTTGTTGTGGTGTTGTCCATCTTCCGTCGGCTCTTCCTCCCTTTCGGTGGTCGCCTCCTCCTCCCAAGCGACGTAGTCAGCAAACTTCTTGGCCTTGCGATTTCGTTTGCGTTTGCCGTCACCCCCAGTGGAGGGGGAGAAGCAGGCTGTGGGTGGAGCAAAAGCACAGGGACCGTTCATGTGAGGGAGGATGGGCCCCAGGTACAAACGCCACTGCTACAGGTTTCAAAGCTTCACAATCGGACCATAAGAAGTGCATTGGGTGACAACCCCCCCGATATCACGGTCGAGACGGCTTTTACTCGCCCAGCGTAGGGTCTTGCCACCAAAAATCGAAGTATCCACACAACACCAAGGGCGCGATGAGTTGCATTATCCTACTTTTCTTAACCCCAACGACAACTGGTGGATCTCTCGAGAGGGGTGCGCACGACTTGTTCGAACGCAATGGTTGACGGGAATCTTCCTGTGGAACCCGTACACAATTGTACAAGCTCCAGAGTCTCAGTAAATCGGTGATGTAATTTACCCCGATGGATAGCACGTTTCCGTTCACAACCACTGGTCCCTGGTTCGAACCCGACCTGCTCATGTGCAATTTTTTGCACCGCTTCTAACCTATTATCCCTAACCCCAACACAAACAACCCGACCAAAAGTCATACCACGCTGGTAAGCGCTAGGTCTGTACATAGGAAGCCTAGGCTGCGGCAAGGCGCAGCGCAAGAGGGGTATAAGCTAGGTTGGGGTGCACGGTTAGCGCTAGGTTGCTTAACGGTGAAAAACTACGTTCATGTCAGGTAAGCTTACGGCGGGATAGGTGAAACGCTAAGTTGCTCTACGTATACGCCTAAGTCGCGGCGCAAGAGGGGGTAAGGGCTAGGTTGCTGTGCACAAGCTGCACCTACCCAAGGAATGTTCCGAGAAACGGTATTCCGACCGTCAACCAATTCGTTCGACCAAGTCGTGAGCACTATTACACGGGTGGCCAAAGGGAGGTTGTAAGTGGTGCCCAACCTCCCCGGGGTCAGGTTGGGACGTTGGGGATCGACCTTGGACAACATGTAGTCTACGCTGCCCGTCCGCCCTATTGAATGGACCAACGTCGCAATCTGGGATGCGGGGCTAGCTTCATATGTCGGCGTACAACCTGCTTTGGCCACCCGTGTAGTACTGCTTCTCGTCGTCTACTGCTGTATGCTATGTCGTTGGTTGAGGAAACCGAAAAAATGACGATATGCTCGAGCCTGGTTTAGACCTATATCATCCACCATGGTATGTGGGAGGCCGCTTGATGTTTTTTTCGTTCCTCTGTAATCCACGCGTCCTGTCCATCTGCAGCAGTCTTAGGAAAAATAAATACACACACAGAAACTACCCTGCAGCAGTCTTACAGCAGTAGGGCCATATGGCGGTACTCGTACATACTACTGCAAGATGTTGCACGTGATCGTGCTTGCTGGGCATCGGATGGCATATTATTGCGGCCATTATGATGCGAAAACTTGGAATCGATGTGTCTGCATCCATCCTTCGTATTCCTCATCGGGCTCGACACCCATGTCGCTTCGTGAAATCTCTTATGCGACGGATAACGAAGGAGAATATTCATGTCGAGGCCATCCACGCGCGGTATGTACGCATACAAACATGGTGAAAAAATGATTGTGTGCACAGCAGCGGTGCAACTTGTGACTTCGTCTCTTTCGATCGCTGGTGAGGATACGGCCATGATATTTTCGTTGTTACAGGGAGACATAATGAAATAGAGGAAATGTACCGCTTGGCTTGTGGCTCTGTAGGTGGTGCGTGCATGCTTATTTCGACTGGTACTGCTGTATGCGTACTGCTGCAACAGCCAATGGAGGTCGGGTCAATTATAACATAGAGGGCATTTCGCCCAAATACCTCCGGTTCCCACATGCTCATATTCATACCAACGGCCTCTGCTGGCTATCACTTCAATGTCAAGGCAGGCCCTTACCGTCGCCCATAGTAGTGGAAGAAGGCACGTCCATGATCGCTGCTCGTGGCAGGAGGGAGGTGTTTGTCTGGGTCGGTGTCCAAGGGTGGTGTTCAATAGGTGTGACGGGAGGGGGTCGGCAAATATAAATTTGACCTCCCCCTGGTTCCGATCTCGATCGCTGCCTCGGCACTCGCTGCTCGCTGCTCGGCACCACCATTCATTGCCACGCGTCTGCTCCATCCCTGTAATATCTCTCCTCTTGTGGACTTTCTGTTTGCTATGCCCGTGTTATATGATTTCCACTAGACGTGTTATCTTGCTCGGTACATCCATATTCATTCGCCAGAACACATCGAGCGGTGTTCGGTGGATGGTTTTTTGGTTTTGTCGCCGCGACCCGCGACCTTGGTGTTGGTTCGGAGATGGGCAATTCGACGACCTAGCGATGACAACATGAACCTGCCGTCCGTCTTGGGAGAAAATCGTCCACGTAGGTCTCGGGCACGGCGGTTTCTTCCGGGATCAAGACACTCCTTGACACCCGCCGAGATCAACCGAGATGTACAATCGAAACTCCGAAAAGAGTGCGCGAACAAGAACGGCCGCGGATTGATGAATGACGTGTGCGTACTGTAGAGATCAGATAATTCGTCCCTATATCTACGTGCAGGCGAGCACCCAATTACTTCATTTCGCTGCTTCCCGTGCCGTTGCAATGTTGCAATGCATCGCAGCGTTTCTCGCGGCGAGAGAGGAGAGCAGCTCAGAAGTACACATAACACACCCTCGTCGTACTCGTTCGTTCAAAAGTTGTTTGTAACGGGCAACCAATGGAAACCCCACGGGGGCATGTTCCTCGCATAGGGTACATACGTCTCCTGGGTTGCCGCCCACCGCTCGGCCCGCCGCTGAACGCTGCTGCCTGGTCTCTTTCGTTTACGGACGAGCTGAAGAAGTCCTCCGCATCGGCGAACGAGAAAGGGTTCAACGTAAGTTTGACGCCTTTCCGCGGACGGTTCCTCGGTGTGTCGGCCGTTACGCGGACGGTCTATTTTCCACGCGTATTTATCACATCAGCTGTTCCTCTGTCTGCAAGTATGCAACAGAGGTCATTCGTCTGCTGCCGCTGCTGCTGGCCAAGGCCTGGACGTTCCTCCCGTTGCCCGCACCGCTACAGGGCGCGTAGGACGATCCTGGTAGCAGACTTAGTATCGGTAGCAGGGTTGATCAACGTGTCGGAGACGACCGCCGCTGCTGTTGCACGCGACCGGGGTAGCCGGCCGCGCAGAGATAGATAGGTAGATGATAGATGTAAGAAGTGCCATCACACCGCACCGGCAAGGAGCCGGCGTCCAACTACAAGTCTACAGTAGATTGTGCTCGTTTGGACAATCCCACGGAGGATTAGCTTGTACGGACGACCCACCAGCAAGTATACAACAGCAGTATCGTCCCATCGTGTCGCTCGGCATGGCCCGTTTAAAACTTGACATCAGTCTCCACGGCTTGTCCGGCATCCGAACAGGGCGACAAGCGTACACACCGGCGGGGAGAGACTGCTGTGTGGAGAAACGCACGCGCCTTCTGTGCGTTCCTTCAAAAGGTCGACGAAGTTCATCAGCCGGATGGCCGCGTCTGCTAATAGCAAGGATGAAACGCAGTTCTGGAAGCTCGTGTGGCCTCCGCTCAAGAACGGTGGTTGGCGCTACGAATTACAGACACCACCGGTAGCAGCGGATGCCGGCAGCGACCAGTCGGATGAAGCGAGCCCGCAAACCTGCCACAGCAGTCGCCGGACCAGCCCCAGAACTCGCAATAGGATGACCAGGAGTAGTAGCAGCAGCAGCAGTAGCAGTTCCACAGGTAGCAGCAGCAGTTCACCCCGCTGGAGAAACCCGTCAGCGGCAGCGGCGGCGGCATCAACAGGAACAACAGCAGGATCCTCCCAAATGCCTGGAAAAGTTACGGTTTTCTTTCCGCCCCCGGTCGGAGAGGCCAGTGAGGCGTTAGAGGAAGCTATGAGACGTGCGGCTCCTGCGGATGGCTCTCTCGACGAAGAACGGCCTGATCACCTCGTCGGGGTGACCTCCGTGATAGAGCTCCTCCAGCAGGTGGCTGGCTACCCCGGTCCGACCACAAGCTTGGGCATCATCAACTTCGATGCCGTCGCCGCCGCCGCCCGCGGCGTGTTGGTTCGAACGCCGTCTCCTTCGAAATCGGGCTCCGGCCGCAGAGAGGCCACGGCACTGGGAGTGGCGGCGGGAGCGTGCGCTGCTGAGGTAGGTTGCATCCACGCTACAATACAGCAAGCCCGCGGCTTTTCTTGGTCTATGTACGAGATGTAGGTGAATCTACAACTCTACTCCATAGTATGGATACGTAAAAGGGCTACATTCATTCATAGAATTGGAGGATAACCTACGACCGGCACGTGGCGCGCTGAAAGCAGCAGTGTACAGTGGATGTGCCTGAGTGGTGGCGAGCGGTGTGTACAATGCATGTAACTCAAGTCTGTTTTGCCGGTGACTGGCTGATCTTACAGTAGTACATACATTTGTGATGCAAAGACTCGCGTACGCGAGTGCTGCTGAACGCACCCCCCACGCACGATTCGTTTGTTTTCCGCGGGGTATACTGCCGTACTCAATATCCGGCCAACCTCAGCACCATGCTCTCTCTAAACTCGTTTTCTCTGCGCTAGCAGTATTTTGTCGGCAGCTTTTTGCAGCAATACATGGCACGGGTTGGGCTACAGTAGGAGACGCAGTAGTCCAAGAGACTGCTGTGCCTAGAGACTGCCTTCCGAGAACGGCACGTCTAGTTTTACATCACTAACCCAAGTACAATAACAGCTTGCTCATGGTGCCGCCTGGGGCAAAAGGCTGCTGTACCATACAGCGTACAGTAGTCTTCGCAACATTCGTCACCCCTGCCGGATGAAATCCCCTGAGACGCCTGCATGGGTCTATTCTCGATATCTCGCTGCGTCCCCGCGGAACATTGGCCTAGAGTGAAATGCTGAATAATGCTTAGAATCGGTGTTTACTAAAACATTTCCGATGAGATACTTCTGTCCATTGTCTCATGTGATCGACACAAAACAGCACGTGTCCGTCACACGCGGCAGTACTCCTGCTTGGCAATCACAAGTACTGCAAATATGTCACCCCAAACGATAGATCGTCCTAGTGCATTGCTCCTGGCTGGAGTGAAGAGAACGTCTCGCCTCCCACCCCCTGACCTCCCACGATGGAAACCTCCGTTTGGATTTTGTGTCTATTCGCTCTGCGTGACCCTGCTGTGTGACCGGTTACGCCTGCCTGCAGGGCAACACGCCAGTGATGGCATCTTCGCGAAGCAGGAGCAGCAGTATCAGTAGTTCCGACGAGGCCGTTGTCAGGGAGGAGCTGCAACCATGGCCAGTGACGACCGGCGGGGGAGTGCAAAGCTCCGCCGCCGAAAATACCGACCTTCAGCAGAAAGCCCAGCCCTCGATTGATCCTGGGTCGGTTGGACCTGCTGCCGCAGGCCCCGCACCCTCGCAGCTGTTGTCGGCGTTGGCGTTGTCTTTTTCCTCCGCGATGAGTAGCAGAGGGGGCGCCACTGCTCCGGAAGGAAGCATGTCCGCCGCGGCGGCCGCCGCCGCTACCGCAGGTGTGTCAACCACCGCCGCAACAAGGCTGGGTCGTGTGATCAAGAAGCCCGTGAGGCTTGAGCACGAAAAACCCGGAAGACAGACCCTGGCCGGTAGGAACGGACGCGCTGACGCGCCGGCGAAGGTAGCAGCCCGGGTCGCTGCCGCCGCCGTCGCTGCCGCCGCTGGTGCCGTTGCCGCTACGAGTGCCACCAACACTGCCACCGGAGAATCAGCTGCAGGGTTGTCGTGTACCAGCGGCAAGGCTGACAGCCAAGCGCGTGATGTTAACATTACCGGGGGGGAAACGACGGCGACGGGGAAAGGGGCGAAGCGTTGCGTGGCGCGCCTCGGCACGGCGCCGGGCAGCGAAGGCGTCGTCGGTCCAGGAGACCAGAGCGTTCTGCCGTCGGCTGGAAATGGTAGCATCGCGATGAGTAATGCCTCGGGTACCGCGAGCGATGCGTCGTCGTCTCCTGCAGCAAGCTCTGTCGTCAGGATGGCGCTGCCGGCGGACGTGCGCACGGCAGGAGCGCCACCGAGGGGAAGGGACGCCGACGAGACCGGTGGCGACGGGGGCGGAAATTCCTCGAGGAGATCGCGAGATTCGGTCAGGGAACGCGATCGTATGGTATTGCCGGACCCTCCGCCGAAAAGACCTGTTGGAGAGCTCGGCCCGGTGCCCGAAGACGCGATCAAGGAGTACAAGCGCGCCTTTGATGATGTGAGAAAGCGGTTCACCAACATGTCACCGTGCTACTTAGTAGATTACTCCTTGGAATGTGAACACAACAGCTACGGACACGAAATAGAAATAGGCGGCCTCTCGTCACTGCGCTAGGCATACCTCTGTCAAATATCTCAGGCGTCCGAGAGGCAAAGGGGTGTACCAGGAAGTCGGAAATCCATGTCATCATTTCAGTGGAGCGATGCTTCGAACTTGCCTACGCGTCACGTCGCGGTACCGCAGTCCTGTTTATACCCAATCAAGAACCAATCACACAAGTACACTGCTGTGGCAAATTGACACAATCGAGCATCATCACAAGAACTTTTAAATCTAGATTCGAGAAAGATAGATCGTGCCAATTCTCAGCAGAGGAAGATTACCCCCAAAGCACCCACACTCAAACACACCAAGTACGTCCACAATCCCACTGATTTGTGTCGCCGCATGGTGCGAGTACCAGTCCTCTACCCGCCGTCTCGTTCGTGGGTGACACGACCGGAGGCGGCCATCCCCGAGTCGACCAAAACGTGTGATAAGAACGCGGGACCGTCATGCGGCGTTCTCTGTGCGGCCCACGACCGGACGTCCGGACCTGGGGATGACTACCAGCCCTTTCCGTGTCAGGCGCCCGCTCGCCTTGCTGTTGCTGGTACCCTATTCTCCGCCTAAAATCACACATCTACCACGCACTCGTGAATGAATGTGGCCTTTGTTTACTCGTTTGGTGGGTTTTGTGCCCGTAAGGTGCAGCTAGCTATCGTTCACGAGAAAGCACACACGTCATCGCCGGTCAACTCCCAATAACCATTAGAAGCCGTCTGGTCGTTCGGTTGCCTGCTGTACAGGTCGTTTGGCCCGGGCTTGCGCAGGAGTTCGGTTGGAAGAGAGTACGCGGTCCCCGTCCAAGTGACGTGTACTACCTCCCGCCAGGGGTCGTTCGGGGACAGAACGGCGCGAAGTGCCGCGTGGACTACTTCGACAGCAACAGACAGGTTGGGTTTGACCGGCACTGGCTGTTGTTTGCTAGTCGGTCGTGTGGTTTGAACAAAATCGGATACGAGGTGGTTGTGGGCTTGGGTGCTTCTGTGCTCTAACTCGTAGGGAGCAGTGTCCGCGTGGGACTAAATTGTGCATGGCCCTATCAAGATTGTGCGTCGAACTGTTATTGACAGGCGAAGAGATTTTGATCAGAGCATCCTATGTTCATGCGTCTATCCCGTTGTGGTACGGCCGCATCGGGGGTGCAAGGATGTTCAGAAGCTGCTTCTTGTGTTTGTTTTAGTTGTCCCCTGTGTTCTTCGATTCGTGGTTTCTTGTATCATAGGTGTTGATCCACATGGCGGAGCGCGAAGAAAAGTTCAGTGACCTTCTGGAGAGGGCTTGGGCGGAGGCAATCGCAAAGCCAAGGGTGCTCGGGAGAAAAGGCGGGGGTGGCGGAGGTTCGAAACGAAGGAGGCGCTGGACGGAGCTGCCAAGGGTGAGTCGCGTAGAGATAGTAAGGCTTGTCTCAGATACGTTTGTGTTATCTGCCGGGCAGTCGAGCTCTGGGCGTCTTCGGTTCTAGTCACGTACTCGCTTCATTGTTCCCGCGGGCGGTGACGACAGAAAAATGAAACCGAGGTAACCGACATGAACCCTGTCCTCGGTTGCTTCTGAAGGCGGAAGGCACCTCAACGTCGTTTCTATATCGGTATTCCTCTTCCTTTCTCCCGCCTCCTTCTCATGTGCATACCGCACCGCTTCTTTATCCTTTTGCTCCTGTCACGGTGTGCACTCGCTTGCCCTTCCTGGGCATGCTGTCCGCACCCAACAGCGGAAATCGACGATGATGAAGAAGGAGTATCCCAAGAAGGTTTCTTTGGTGGGAACAGCGCATCAGGTGCGGGGAAGACAGAAGGGAATGGAGTAGCGCGAGATTGCATGATTCAAGGCTGGGAGGAGATGGCGGTCGTCTTGGAGATTTGGTTTTTTCACCTACGAACATAGCTGTGTAGTCTATGGTTCATGCCCAATATCTCGAGTCCAGGCTGTCGTTATTCCGCAAATTGAAGGTTGTCATTCTGAGGCGTTCCCCCCCAGCATCCAGAGCAGCAACTCGCATTTCAGGCCACGCTAAACCTGAAACCAGGGGAGTACGCAACAACTCTGCAGGTCTCGACAAGACAGAAAGTGTCCCAAAGTTCAGAGGGAGTTTGTACAGACGAGTCCACAACTTCCTCCTCGAAACAGGAACGCTTCCTTGCAACAGGTCACACTCGAACTTGGCAGCACGTTTCAACTGTGTCTTGTGTGCTCGACCACAGGTGGACCCTCTGAACTTGCCCGTTCCCGTGTCGAGCGAGGACTACGTGCCTCCAGAGGACGTGCTGTTCGAGCAGGTGTGGGACCCGAGCGTCGTGGTTCCCTCTCCGAAAGGCGTGGGCGCCCCTCGGGAGCTTGCCGAGCTCGTGAAAGAGTTTGCCGGGGTGGTGAGCCAAGACAAGGTGCGGGAAACGGTGGCGTGTTTCAATAGAGGGAGAGGGGGCGTGTGCTGTGGTACACGATGCATCAGGTGGTCTACAGGGTTGTGATTCAGCCGGTGGGGGTGGAGTAAGTACCTCTCTTCCGACACGGGGCGACGAGCGTAGTCCTGTCTTGAAGCGTCGCTGGTGGCGCCTTGCCGGCCTTGGTGGTAGTATGAAGAAGGAAGTTTTGTTTCACACACCAACATAACTAAAGCCTTGCTCCGCAGAGTGGGTGTCCGTCAAGTGCTCTCGTCCCAAAACAGCCATCTCGTGCAGCAGGGTGCCGCTGTCCTCCTCTCCCGTTCTGCGGGCAGTTCAACCCTCTACGCTGCAACCCGCTCAAGCCTGGTTCAATCTTTCTTAGTGTTCCTCGACGTGACAACCATGGCAACCTCCTTTGTTCTCGTCTCAATCATTCATGTACCATTCATGTACCAGTGTCTGGAGATCGTTCATCGCTTCGAAGGGGACTACGGTGAGGCTCGCAAGTTGCTTAGAAACCTCTCGCGGTCGTGGAAGTCCCGTTACCTGGTCGCCTCGAATTCGACGAGGGAGACGGCGTCAGCAAAGGCCATCGTGGCCAGAGAAACCGCCGCGCGCCTTGCAGCTGCACCGCCGCCGTCTTCATCGTGGTCCTCGTCGTCAACCAAAGGTGGCGATCCCGACGTCGCTCGTGGTTGTGGTGGTGGGTGTCCGATTGTGGCGGGTTCGACGACGGTGACTGCTAACACAACAAGAAGCGCGGTGGCTTGGGGAGGGGGTGCGGCGGCGGTGGCTGCCCGAGGTGCCGGTGGGGGCGTTGTCGGCGGCAGCAGCGGCGGCGCCAGCCGCGGCGGTCGCGGTCACGTTGGCCTTGCAGGCGCCCCGGGGATACAGGACGCGTTCTGGTGTCGCCCGCTGAAATCTCTCGCAGGAGGCGAGGCCGCGTTGAAGCGGCAGGTGCAAGGAGGCGTGTCCAGCATCCCGCCGGGGGCCAGGAGCAAGGACAAGCTGTCGCTGGACTTGAACTTAGCGCGGCCGTGGCTCCCCCACGAGGCGGCCATGTACACGAGGGCAATGCTCGAGGAGGGGTCAAAGAACTTCTACGCCGCGCAGGTAGGACGAAGACTGTAGTTAGTACTGTAGCACTCTACCGGGAACGTGAGGCGGGAACCCTTTTCGTGCATTCCCTGGACTAACAAGAAGGCCTCTTTGCAAACAACAGTCTTGCATTTCCGGCGAAGCGTCTTTGCACGTGCACGACAACTAGCGCAACACACATAACACGAATCTGGTGCACTAGCCAACGAACGCTTGGCCAAGAACGGCGAGCATCAGCCTGTTCCGCACTTGACCGTAAAATGTTGGACCCTCCGCAGGAACTCCACTCGCTGTCCTCCTACCTCTTGTATCCACCACCCTTTGCGCTGTCTGTCGTGTTGAAGCGGATATAATTGTCCATTTCCAAGACCGTATCTACTGACCTTACGTTGGCGTCATCTATCGAAGTCATCACTGGCACCTTACCCACCTACGCTCCGAAACCTTGCTCTGCTGTCCCCCTGGTGCGAACCCTGTTCGATGTACATTTTCTTTCTTACGCAATGTCGAGCAGAAAGCCCTACCGGGTAGGCAGGTGTGCGAGCTGGTGGACCGATACTACGGGGGTTGGAAGCAAACAGACGGGTATAGGGCCCTCAAGGAATCCATCCGGTATGTATGTTTCGTGTGTGTTTGAGAAATCTACTATTTTTGTCTTGAAAAAAAACGGAAATGTATGCCATCTATCGAGAAGTCTCATTAGGCCCATTATAGCATAATCATGCTTGTGAACGATCGCACCGGTTATTCCTTGGTTTTTGTCTCTGCACCCCGGTGCAGAACCCCGCTGGGTGCGAAAACCCCGATATTGGTGGAAATACAAGTTAATCAATGCGTCCTAGTTTTTCAAAGGCACCCCCGGTGCGATAGCTCCGATGAGCGATTGGTAGGTGAGATGCGTATGAAATACAGTGGCCTTGATGTACCGGCGCTATGGTGTCGTATACATATGCAGGCACCGCGGTGCGACGATCGCGATTGTGCGATATTGAAAAACACCACAGCGGCTTGGGTTGCCTGCAGATAGGTGGCCAGTGATGGGGTCGAATACGAGTTTGGTCATGGCTTGTGGCAAGGGCGAAAAACGATGTGGTTCCCTTCTGGGCGTGTGCGGTGTAGGTTGTCTTTCCAGGTTCTTGCTGACAGGCGTCCTTCCCTTTGTCGTTTTTGGCCTCCTCACCGAATACTGCTTTAGTACCACATAAGTTCTTTCTTCAGTAGTTGGGTGGTGGATTGCGGGACGTTCTGCACCTCCTGTCGAGTTTTGTTTGCCCGTCAACCCCGGGAGGTATTGACGTTCCGCAATCATGCGTGTCAAGGTACTTCGGCTTAGCCCATCAGAATTGGCACTAAGATCATGGGGTATACACGCACACCCGCCCCTTGTACGCGTGGGGTTCGTATCTTGGAAACGCCTCGCGTTTTTGTGCACCTCCGTCCCAAGACATATGAACTTTCGTGACACGTAGTTTGTCGAGTCTTGTCTCCCCAGCGTAGTGCTTGCTGCATTTCGTGTATCTACTCGTGGTTTCATCCCAGAATAGAACAGCCCAACAGAGATCATTCTCTGCGTTTGCCCGCCCGCTCTGCTCTAGTCTCCCTAACTCTGCCCCACCGTGTGTCATGTTTGCCTCTATGTTTGCCGTACCGACCCGTCAACACTTGCCAACCGCGGAATACGCAGCCTGTCAAAGAAACAATCGGTGAGAGCGGCAACAGCAGTTGCCACATCTTGCATTAATTGGGGAGTAACGAAACAGGATGTTGAACGTATTGCAGACGAATTGCATGGCGAGTGAAAACACGCACCGGTAGTCTACAGGCGAAGTACATGGTCTAGCGCAGGCAGTGGTACAGAGGAGGAAACGTGGGCTGTGGCCGGAAACCAGGGAAAAATGGAATTGTTGTTTTTTCTTGGCTCGCCGTGCACCGCTCTTCGCTCAAAACTAGCAATGCCTTGCGAGAGAGCGGGTGTGCTTCGGGGGCACGCGCCGCCTTGGCCGGTCGCACGTTTTGCAACTTTCGGTGTCCCTCTTTCTCTGTATTTGATGCTGTCAGGCCTGTGGAGGGTGCCACGCAGGAGGAGACCTCATCTGCTGCGACGGTTGTGAGGCCGTGTATCACCCGGAGTGCGTGGGGCTATCTGTCGTCCCGGAGGGAGACTGGTTCTGCCCGGCGTGCGTCATTCGCAGGAAAAAGGAGGCCGAAAGGCCGTTAGGACAGGCATCGTCCTCCTCCTCCTCTTGGGCCGCAGGGGGGAGTTCTGCTCGTCTTGCCGGCGCTGCGTCGGGCCGGGGGCGGGTGGACTCCGCGGTGGCGGCCACCAAGCGTGAGAATACCGCCGGTAGGAGCAAGAGGTATATCTCGATGACCGCCACTGTGACCGCCGCCTCCGTGGCGTACGTTGCGTCATCCAAGAAGGCCCGCACGCTTGCGAAGGACAAGGGGGCTGAAGGCGGCGGTGGAAGCAGCGGTGGTGGCCGGGGCGGGGTAGGGGGCAGAGATATCAGCGCGGGGACTGAAACCAGCCGTGCAATTGTCGGTGGGGTCGGGCCGCCGCCGCCACCGCCCATGCGAATGGAGAGGGTCCCGATCCAGTTGGGAATCGCGCGAGGTGCTGTTGGCGGCGCGGCTAGAGTGGCTGAACTAGTCTCCTCGGGCGCGGGCGGTGCTGCTGCGACAGTGTCGGCGTCGGTGTGTCCACTAGGGACCGCGACCTCGGCCGCCTGTGGGAGAAGTGGCGCGGCTTTCGGGAAGCGCCCAATCGTTGGCGAGACTCCTATCCATACACAACACCCCGGCAAACGCCCTGCCAGATTGGTCAAGACCGCTGCTGCTGCATCTGCAAGGAGCGCCGAGGAGTCTCCTCCTGTAAAGGTGGCCCCGCTGACGATTGCGCCACGGCCGCCCTCTTCTGCAGGCGGAACGACCGCTGGCGCTGCCGGTGCCCAGCTAGGGCGAACAGCAGCGATCAAAGCGACCAATGGTGCTCCCGCGGGGAAAACGTCGGCCGCAGCAGGCGATTGGGGCTGCCTCGGCTGCAAGCACCGCAACCGAGCTGAGGACACACGGTGTCGTCGGTGCGAGGGGCTCAGGTTGGTCGGAGCGGAGATTAACTTGAAAGGGGTTCCGCGCCAGGCTGAGGCTCCTCCGGCTGCGGCTCCCCTCGTGGGCAAGGCTCCCGCGGCTGATTCTGTCCCCATCGCCGCCGCTGAGCCCACCGGTGGTGTGAAGCCGCCGCCTCCCGCGCCGAGCGCCGAGTCCGCTGCTTCGAGTAACGCCTCTGCCGTCGCCGACACCCAGGCAAATGCTGAACCGCGCGATGCCGCCGTGGCTCTAGCTGCTTCCGACTGTTCCACCCGCGCTTCTCTAGCCTACACAGCCGCACCCGCTCCTCTTGCTTCGAGTGACCCGTGGGCGCCGGCGGCGGCGCCGGCGGTGCGACCGGCCCAATGGGGCTGCCGCGTGTGCTCCACGTTAAATAAGCACACCGAGGCCGTTTGCGTGAGCTGTGGCACGCGCAAGGAAGACAAGGTCAAGCCTGTAGACGAAGGGAAGGCGGCCGAGTGGTGGAACGGTCGAAAGTGCTCCCGCAACGACAACCAACAACACGACGGCACCACACGCAGGGTCTGCTCGGCTGTTGGGGGCGATGACGAGCTGCAGGTAGAGGTGGGATTGGAGGTGGGGGAAGAAGTGGAGGGAGAGGAAGAGGACGAGGAGGAGGAGGAGGAGGAGATATCTGTGGGATTGGACGAAGAAATCTCGGTCGGGGAGGATCGGCAGGGTCTAGCGCCCCCTCTCTCCGGGATGACCTCAACGTTTGTGCAGCTCTAAAGTACACAGAGCTGTTTTGGTATGACAGCAGCAGCCTCGCAGCAGCAGCCACGCCCGTCGCTGCTTGCAAAATTTACACTTACTTGTTGGAGACCGCTGACTGACTATCGAGGGAGCAGAGGCGACGACACCGGCGGCAGCATGTACACGCCCGAGGTGAATGAACAAATAGCATTTGTTGTTGTATCGGAACGGAGAGAACGCGGAACGTGTGCGAAGTAGCAGCGATCCTGCAGGTTCCCGCTTGCTCCGACTGTTTTTAAAGGAACGTGTGTCGCTAGGCCACAAGCATGTGCGTTGTGCCGAACGGAACATTACGTGGGTCGGTTTTCGGGGTGTTGGTCGCCTGTGACGTTCCTGCGTAACGTAAAAGTAGTAGTTAGCGCCGCCCCCGCTTGGTTGCGATTTTACTGGTCGCCGGTTTCGACCGCCGTCGAGTGTTTGTAGATGAGAGCGGCATGTTGTGCGTGGCCGTCATGAGTGTGTTTGAAAAGGGTGGTGTTTTTTTCATGTACTCCGGGGGATGGATATGTTTTGGCGAATTGACCACGACGGGTCTCGAGCTTTCGGCACAAAAGATGGGAGACTTGATAATGAATGTGTTTGTGGGGGAAACTCGGGTGCGCCCGTGTCTAGGTACTAAATTTCGTAATAAGCGGAGTAGAGGTCTCATGGATGCCGTGCTGGGCGCAGTCGCGTCTCTTTGTCTTGGTTGTTCGTGTCTAAGTGGGTCTGATGTAAACCAGAAAAGCGCATGTAATGTGTCGTGCATCCGTTCGTGATCCGGTAGGCTGGTGCTGCGACTGTGTATTCTAGAACGTTGTGCAAATAATGAGCAGAGTGAGTTTGTTGAGCGTGTGTTTGCGCTCTGCCTGCTGCCTGATAGGTGTTGTGTGTGTTGTGTGTTGTGAACGAAACGATAAGCCGCTTTGTTCACCTTCACCTACGATGTTTGTGTTGAATTAATACCACATGCATCGCCGTGCCGACGACTGAGTGTTGGTGAGCGATCTCGTGCAGGGTTTTTGACCAAAAAGTAGGTCGACACGATGAGTTTGGTTGGCGTCGCTGTTTGTGTCCGTAGAGTTGCGTACGAAAGAAGAGGCGACTTTTTGCCCGATGTCAGTATCAAGTGAGCCGAGAGCTATACTTGCACGTGGTCGACTAAAGAGTCTCAAGGTTGGCCATGTGAGCAAAATACGAGCAATACAGCGTATTCTTCTCGAATCAACCGCTCTCACACCGGAGCAATTTGCTGGAGGTCGTATCTGGGGTAAAAGCGCGAATGATTATGTCGCCACGAAATTTCGAACCTTTTTGCCTAAGAGTGCGGACTTCCCCACTCGTGGCTGCTGGACTTGGAATGACTCAATCTTGTCGTTGAGTGTCAAGTCTCAGCAGCCGGAGAGAATGCCTTCTGTTCCAGTGTACGCGGTTGTCTTTTAGATTTGGCAACCTTCGGAGCATAGGTTACAGCCCCGGTCGGGAAAGTTGGGCGATTCATTGTATTGTGTTGGTCTCGACACTGTCTGAATGGCTGCATAGTTCGGCCGCCAACCGTTGCGAGTGCACAACTTGTTGCGAGACTTCAAACTGCGAACACATGATTCACTACTCATAGTAGAGCGGAACCAGTGACACACGTGCTCGACGCTTCAATATATTCAAGTGTTGATACCGCTCGGTACTTGGCACAAGGGTCAAAACAGGGCAATAACGTTGTTCGCAACGGGCGACGCAATCGTTCGGTCAGTGATGAAAACAAAACGATTGCCGAACAAGGGCAGGCAAATAGTGAGAACACATCTGACGGGACGCTTCGCAGTCAACCTTTGGGTACGGGCCGGCTGCCTCGTCCTAAACTTCAAAAACTCTTGCTGTCTTCCGAAAACGATCGCCCTTGTTCTTGACTCTTATCGATCGTACCGTAGGAACTAGACGTTGCACGCGTGCAAGCGTAAGGCGGAACCGAACAACAACCATTAATAATCCCAAGAGACAGAACCGAGAAGGAAAATTTTGAGGGCCCAAAGTACTGAAATGTGCAACAATCGACACTCCAGGATTTTCATCCCCGTTTCTGCTGGCGAACCTTGCAGTAAGAGCACGTGCCGGGTCTCCGACGTACCACATTAACCAATGTGGCTTGGCCACGTGCACAAACTGGCAGGCTCAAAAAGGATGGGAGCGTTCCGAGCCTTTCACCCGTCCCCCGTACAAAAACGCGGGCAGTGATAGGTGGGGAACGCTTGCCATCCGCCAAACCAACAAGCAAACAAACAATACCATCTCCTTGAAGAAAAACGAATCGTGTACGTATGAACGTGGCGATACAGAGAGCATGCATGGCCGTAGCCGCGGTTACGTGTCCCTCGTATTGGCCTGCACTACGTGAGAATGCGCATGATCTGTGCATCAACCGGCAACAACCTTACCCGGTATCACCCGAACACCCCGCGACCGTCAGACGCCCAAACTCTAATTACTGCTTCGCTTATTTCAAGCTTTGCGACAACGCGCCGAATCGAGAAGCCCACATAGAAACATAACCGCCCCCCTCAACCTTCACCAACGGAGTCTTGGAATGCTGACAAAATTAACGAAAGCAAAAGCTTAGAGGGTAAGGTCCTTGGGAGTTTCCCAGGTGAACTCCGGGTCGCTGCGCCCGAAGTGGCCGTAGGCAGCCGTCTTGCGGAAGATGGGCTTTCGCAACTGCAGGTCGCGCAGCAGGCAGCCGGGCCGCAGGTCGAAGTTGTTGTTGATGATCTCCACGAGCTCCTCGTCGGTCTTGCCGGAGCGGGTCTTGGCGGTGCCGTACGAGTCCACGTGGATGGAAAGAGGGTAGGGGACGCCGATCGCGTAGGACAGCTGCACCAACACGCGGTGGCAGAGGCCGGCGTGTACGAGGGACTTGGCCACCCACCGAGCAGCGTAGGCCGCCGACCGGTCCACCTGTCGACAGCAAAGCAAAACAACCAGTTGTTTTTGGTCATCAGACATTGACTCGCCTTTGGGGGGTGGGTGGGAGAACTCCCCAAGTCGCAGAGATGCAGCAACATGTAGCATAGCGAAACGTAGACGCATCATCAATCTACGACGGGTACGCTGTTTTCGGCACAAGCAGCACGACGCCCACCACCCTAGCCAACGCAAATGCTTCCGAGCGCCAGGATAGGCGAGATAGATGAGAGCTTCACTGACAGGCACCGTCATTTCATCCTCGAACCAAACGGTCTGGGTTTTGTATCGTCTTGCCTACGCTTCAACAAGGCAAGACTACCTGTGACAAGGGACCGCCATAAGTCTCGTGTCTCGAAAGGGACTCTAAGCGATAAGTGATCAGACGACGACACAATGATAAAGGTAAAACAAAACGAGAATCCACTGAACTCCCGCCGCCGCATCCTCTACTCCACCCCCACACCCCGGGCGAGACATGCCGCCGACTGTTTTTCCTTCCTTTCCTCACCTTGGTCGGGTCCTTCCCGGAGAACGCCCCACCGCCGTGCGCGCCCCACCCGCCGTAGGTGTCGATGATGATCTTGCGGCCGGTGAGCCCGGCGTCCCCGTGCGGTCCACCGATGACGAAGCGGCCGGAGGGGTTGAGGTGGTAGATGGTGTCGTCGTCGAGGTACTTGGCCGGCACGACATGCTTGATCACGTGCTCCTGGAGGTCCGCGCGGATCTTCTCGTTGGAGACATCGTCGTCGTGCTGCGTGGAGATGACCACGGTGTGCACTCGCTGGGGCACCATGCGGCCGTTCTCCTCCTTGTACGCCACGGTCACCTGTGCAATAGCGGTGGGTTTGAAATTTTTCGCAAACGGGGGAGCAGATCCTCGTCAGAGAGATGGGGATGGTTTGTTCGAGAGGAGCACCAGAGGGGAGCACGTTCGTGCACTTGGGCTGTTGTGTGCGGCAGTTGATGCTTCCAGTCTCGGTGACAGCATCAAGACATATGCATACCACATGAAATACTGTCGTTTTCGGATGGCCGAACAGACCGCACACATGCTGGCAGCCGGTATACTATGCACATATTGAGGGGTCGAGTACTACGAGCGACAAGTTTCCTCGACACAGCACTAGCGCTTCTCTTTCTAGTGTCCGAATTCTACCCTCTCATTGTCGCACCGCACACTACCGCCCTAAATGACATATTAAGACATGTGTGCACTCGTGCAACAAATTAGGACAGGGTTTTAAGCTCCTGGCCAGCTGGGGTTATGCCTCTAGCAACGGGGGGGGGGGCATGGTGTTTTACCCCAATGACACTGCAGGTCTTTCCCAAATAGTAGCCAGTGTTGCCATATTGTCCTCTTGGGATTCACTACTGCTGTTGAGCGAATCTAACTAAAAACTGCTGTAGGCGCTCTTGACCTCCTGGGCAAGGGCAAGGGGACAAAGGGGGTTCGTGCAACTAATTCAAATTTCGTGAGAACCCTTCCGTCAACGTCTGAACATACGTATTTCCATTTTCAGTCCCACACACAATGCAGTCTTGCTCTATGCTGTCCCTTCTGAATCAATCGATGAATGCTCACATGTCTTTTGCGGATGTGGGTGCACGCACATATCTTGTGTGTGGCTATGCAACATACGTGGACGCGTATCTATGCGTACCTCTTGGATCATTATACTGTACATGGATAATGGGGCGGGTGTGGTCCAAATCCCCAAATGTTTCGTGCTCTTGTTGTGGTCGGTTTGCAAATGGCCGCATTTCTAAGAGCGCCACGCACGTTTCTGACAACAACCCACTAAGCTTCAACAACCCACTAAGCTTCCATCCAAGCTCGTGTTCCGAGGGAGTGCTTGCGGTCGTCGTGGGCAGGTTGAAGTTGGGCATACGTTGCATACGCGCGACTCGTTTGGCGCTAAAATGGTGGCGGGGTATCCACTGTTGATTCACAACGAAACGATTTCGTTTGTTCCGTATTTGCCCACCGACTACGGGTCAGGCCGTAGCCATGGACTTTCCGCGTGTCGCGGCACTAGGCGGAATGGGCACGTGGTACCATGGGCGTGGCCACACATGTCCATTCATCGCCTTGTGCGAGGTGACGCGATCTTTTCGGTTCGGTACACACTACTTACACACCCGCCCCGATAGGTTCAAGCTCGTTCGGCCGCCTTTCGCTACGATCACTACTAACGTGTGCAATATATATAATACACGCGACCCTCCAGATCTAGTTGGCACGTTTCGCGACACAGATCTTGTGCATCCTGACGTGCAGCAATTACGACAAACGGTCGGTGGGTACAACGCCCGCACGCGCCCAAACAAGTCCCTCTGTTCGACCATGGGCGTGCGCACATCGTTGGTTGACGTGTATTTTCCGTGGTGCCATAAATCTCCCTCCCCCACCACTTGCCTGGGTCTTGCCATCGGGTCGGCACCACTCGCAGATCCCCTTCTTGCGGACCTCCGTAAGCCGTGCGCCGATCTGCGTGGAGAGCTCGTGCGACAGGGGCATGAGGCTATCCGTCTCGTCCGTGGCGTAGCCGAACATGATGCCCTGGTCCCCGGCCCCGATGTCCTCGATGCGCGTCGCGTCCACGGACTGCGCGATGTCGGGCGACTGCTCCTCGACCGCCACCACCACGTTGCACGTCTTGTAGTCGAGCCCCTTGGCCGTGTCGTCGTACCCGATGTCCTTCAGGGCGTCGCGGATGACCTGCTCGTAGTTGACGTTGGAGTTGGTGGTGATCTCGCCGAAGATCATGACCATGCCGGTCTTCGTGCAGGTCTCGCAGGCCACGCGAGACCTCTCGTCGTCCTTGAGGCACGCATCGAGCACGGCATCGCTGACCTGGTCGCAGATCTTGTCTGGGTGTCCTTCGTTCACAGACTGCGAGTTGTGGCGAAAGTCAGGGGCAGGACACGTTGGGGGAGAGGCGTAGTGAGAGGGGCCAAGGGTTTCTTGCCGACATGCACGCGATGATGCGGCGCTGTCTTGTTTTGCCCGTGTCTGGATTTTTCAGTACTCGAAAGAGACAACGAAAAAACAACGAGCGATAAAAGAGAAGGCAAAGTGCAACAAAACCTACCCGCACAGCAAACACGGCTTTTCCGGGCCCTCGACGCCCATGCCAAGAAAGCTAACGTGCATGACCAGTCTTCCTATGTGTAGGATCAAGTACTGACCTCAGGTTCGGCCCCAACGCACCAGATTCAGAAGTGACGTTCACCTCCTCCCCACGTTGCCCCAAAAAAGGCACACATGTACCCCTACAACGAACAGAACGCGTTCCGATCATCACCCTCAAACCTACCTCACTGGTAAAGAGGAAAGTTCCCGGTGCAGGTGCGCCTGGTGCCTTGATGTTCGCCATTGTGCAGCTGTTACTCTTCTTGCGATGGACTGGCGGGCGGGCGGGCGTGGAGGTTTTAGGGGCGTGTGAATGTGACCGACGTGGTGTGTGGCCCTCCCTTGGGGGGGCCGGAAGAGCGTCGAAGCAAATGGTATGTCAAAAATCCTAGCTGCGTGATTCTGTAAGATTCTCCCGCACCATGCTCTACAACCACAAGAACAGCACCACTGGGGGAGGACTGGCTCCGTTGCAACCAAGCGAACAGCCGCCATGGCTACCCTGCAAGAGGTTGAGGCTGAGATCAAGGAGATCGCTGCCAAGATAACGGAACTCAAAGCTGCAGGAGGCGCCGACCCTGCTCTGATCAAGCAGCACGTGGTAAGTAAAAGACCCATCATATTGATGCCTCGACCGCACAACCTCCAACCTCCTCGGTCTCGGCGAAGGTTCAATGACCCTGCTGCTTGCGAGCCGGAAACAAGAACGTTGCGTTGTGCATCCGATCCGTGTTTCCATCTATGAGCGACCCAAGTACTTCCAAGCGTGAAAATACCCAATAGCAACCTCTGTCTTTGTGTCAATGAACACGTTCCACACCCACCCCTGGTGGTATCTGGCGTCAAGCAGCTGCTACGTTTAAACGTTTACACCCTCAGCTATTCCACACAGCAGTGCTGTTTAAAGTAGTACTTCTACCAATAAGAGTTGGCTGAGCCAATGCGTTTGTGTTCTGCGCGTCCATGAAGGCGAGAGCAGGGGAGGGGAAAAGAATACTGTGTCTTCTGCGCCTTGCACGCCACATGACACAGATGTATTTGAACGGCATGCGACAGCACTGCACATCGGTGGTGGGATCCGGGGCCTACGGTACTATTTCTGTAACGTAAGTCGTGAACAGCAATAATGCTGCTACTGCTGCGCTCACGCCGATCCGCCGCTCACGTTTGTCCGCGTATCGTACAAGATTTCGCGGCGTCGTGGCGTGTGGCACCCCACTCTGCACCCGGTAGCTGCTGCTTTACCTGTTCGCACCACCAAACTCCTAACATCGAGTAGTCGGGGGCGTATCTTCGTCCGCACCCACCACGAAATACAGCGTACCGCCGGCGTAGTTTCAATTGAACCCGAGAATGGGAGCGAGCACCTGGCCTTAGACAAAGCGGTGTTATCTACCAATATAATGCACCCGCGGGAGCTGTGCACCAGGCTCAGACTGCTTGAAGTCCCGTTCTATGGCCCTGTTTCGCCGCGGTGCTGTTGGCTGTCTTCTTCCCAACATATCATTGAAAGAGAGCGGCAGCACAGAGACGATGCATTCACAAGAACGAAAGCAGCCTAGAAACGAAGGCGCCTGGCAATATTCTGCATCTATCTATCAGTACCTGGGGGTATAAGGCGACACTTGGAGATACTCTGTGACCCCCGACCAATAAACAAACATTCCAGAGGGCAAACCCCGCCCCCTGAGCCCCTTCCTGAGCCCGCTGCACCTGGACATCAAGGCTTCGCCTCCAATGGGCATCAGCAGCGACGTCGCTCCTGCAAGCGGGGAAGGAGACGGGGAGAGTTCAAGTAGTCCGGACCAAATATCTATTTCGAGCATCGTTTGACGTGCTCGTGCTCAACTCAAATATGCTGCTCGAAATAGAGATTTGGTCCGGACTACTTGAAACCTCGGCGTCTCCTTCCCCGCTTGCAGGAGCGACGTCGCTGCTGCCTTGATTTGATGTCTAGGTGCAGGGGGCTCAGGAGGCAGGGCTTGCCCTGGAATGTTTGTTTTGTTTTGTTTTGGGTATTTTGTAATTTTCAGCTTTGGGGACGCAATTATCCGAGGTAGCGAGAGGCGCTTATTTTTGCTTTGGGGACAGGCGAAGGTAAGGCTCCACCCCCACTCTTGCGTGAAGATATACACGTATGCATGTTGTTTGGCCCACGATCGACGCAGTTTCAGACAGCTTGCTTGCATCTCCCCGGTGTTGTGGCAATCTACGTGAAACCACGCCTGCTGTTACCTCCGGTATTACGCGTACACGACAGGCTGAACTGCTGGCAGCTAAGGCGAAGTTTGCAGATCTTAACGGGGGAGTGCCGTACGACCCCCCGAAGCCCGCGAAGAAGGTCAAGGGCCCCGCCAAGACCCCTGCCCCAGAGAGAGCTCCCGGAGAGAAGAGCAAGAAGGTCAGACTTGAGAGAGAGAGAGAGCACCTCGACGCGAAAACTGAATGCGACATAGCTGCTCAAGGATAGGAGATGAGATGCATGTTCGCTTTGTCTTCGCGCTTGCATTGCCGTACTGTATGGGTTACGGGTTGTCGCTCGGGCATCTGGGAAGAAGAGCTTGTAGTCTCGAGACCCTGGGCCGTGAGCATACCTGCACGGATACCTGTACATTTGTGCTGTGTTTCTGCAAGCGATTCGTTTGGTTCCACCGGATGATTTCGTTTCCAGTTTTCCCTCTTGGGTGCTGCACATCCATAAAACCTTCGGATGACACTCCATACGTGGGCCGGTCTTCCTCCCCATGGCAGTTAAAGTGGACAGACCCAAGGACAACGTTCAGAACTAAAGCCACGTCTATTTGTGATTCTCGTCAAATAAGATATGAGGAGAATTGTTTCGAGTTGTGTTGTGAGTCCCGCAGAAGCCTACTCTCGTGGGAAACTCATCACGGGTGGAGTTTTCCCTGCTCAGAATTGGCGTTACCCCGTAAGCAAACGGATCATCATCATCGGTGCTACGGTCGTGCAAGGATGTCTCGACTTATCTCCAATGAGGTCTGGACCTTACGGCTTTGTCGAAAGAAATTCTTGACACTGTAAGACACACGCCCTTTACAGTTTGCGTACTGGTTTGAACCCTGACACCACCGGTTGATGTGAGGTCATGGTACCGCGGATAGGTTCTAGGTCGGCTTGCACTGGATATGTTCCCAGAGGGTAAGGGTGGTATCGTTTTCCAACATGAAGGCCACCAAGTCCCACAAGTTTCGACCACACGGGAAGCACTGCTCTCTCTCTCTTCAGCCCGGTATGAAGGAGTGTCGCCAATTTTGACTGATGTCTGCGGCAAAACCCACGGCAACGACACGTTAGGTGTTGTTTGTAGCGAACGTCTCTGAAGGCATAATCCCCCCCCCCCACGTTTTTGACCCCTCCGCTGTCTTTCCGCAACAGGAACAGCAGCGAGAGCTCAAAAAGGCGCAGAAGGAGGCCGCGAAGGCCGCAAAGAAAGCCGCAGTCGCCGGCGGTGGTGACCCAGGGGCACCCAACGCCGCTGCTCCTGTCTCCACGGCCAGGGGCATGCCCGATGGCGCGGCGCCTGCGGCCTCGGCAGCAACTGCAGCAGCGACAACCGCCCAGGCGACGGTCCAGTTTTGCTCGGCGATGCCACCGACGGTAGCGCACGCGGCATGCTCGCTCACGGAGACCAAGTTGACGTTTGCCGCCGGCGAGGTGAGGTTTATTGACCCCGTTGTTTACGGGAGGGGGGAGGGGGGCCAGAGACATGCCATTTCATTTGGTGATCACGGGAGTCAAGTTCCGAGATTATTCGGTGCTTCACCAGTGTCCTTGCTCCTTGCTCGGGCAATTGGTCGTACGGAGTCGTATTCATGTTTCGCCTGAACAGGAGGTCGATGCTCATGTTTTGTGTGGTCATTGGTTGAGCTTGCTCAGCGGCTACCCCGTCACATGATCGCAGTGGACTCGTCCCGACACCGACCATCCCGTCACCCTCCGAGCGAGGACGTCTCTCCAAGCGCAAATCTTGCCTGATGCCTAGGAAGGGAAGGGAACTGAGTGTTCGCTCTTGCGCACGATGTCCCTCCCCGCCTTCTCGCTCGTGGCCGTTGTGGTCATTTTTCGATCGTATTTGTCTCGGTTTCCCAGCAAAGCATGCCTTGCCTTCGACTCCCCGACGGGCGGAGCGTGTCCGGAGATTTGGCGATCGCCCGCCACGTCGCGCGTTCGTCCACTTCTCCCGCTGCCGCGGGTCTCCTAGGAGGTGCAGATCCTGTCGAGGCTTCGGTGGTGGACCAGTGGCTGGACTTGTCGCAAACGCACGACCTGGTGGGGCTCGCGAGCACCCTCGACGCCCATCTCGCTCCCAGGTACAAATGTAAATGTTTTACAGCAGTGTTGTTGGGCCAAAGAGGTCTCATGACGGATGGTGGCCGGTAGATTGCGGATATGATGCAGTCGGCTATCGTGCTGCGACCATGGCGCGGGCACCAATCACCCTTGTCATTGTTGCATCGTCGTCGCCGTCTATGAATTGTGAATGGCCTTTGCTCGCTTTGTCCAATCGGAATTGAACTTGCTCCGAGCAGGACATACTTGGCCGGGCACGAGCTCTCTTTAGCGGACGTGGCGGTGTACGTGAGCCTGTCTGGGTCGAGATTCAGCCCTCCCGAGGTAAGAACGGACAGCCGAGCCTCCGCCTACTTGTTGATCTTGGGTGGCTTCATTGCTGCGACGTAGCGAGAGAAGGCTCGAAGCGCGGTGCTCTTTGTGCGCAGACCGCAGCGGTTCAATGTGGATTTCATAGACCAAGCTTGGGTACCGCTGGTGGCCTGGGCGAATATATTTTATGTTTGGTTGTTCCGCCTGCTTAGACTGACCAGCTGGACTTGGTACGCGCGGCTTGCTTCAGGTTGCTCCTCAGTTGTGCAACTCACTGGTTTCATCGTTCGAAAATTTAGCCGACATACTGGACTTGACGGAGACAGGACAGGAAACGGTAGTGGCATGAATAGCAACCGGCAGGGGAACTTCGTCACTGGCGGTGGTGGTGACACCGTTGGCGGAACGGCAAGTGTAGCGCCCGTCGCAGACACTGCAACAACGCTCATCCTCTGCATCAAGAGCGGGGATGGCTTTAGCCGCGGCACCTGTGGCGCCGACGGTGACCGGTAGCAGTGTTGTCGCCGCTTCGTCGGTAGGGAGGGCGGCTGAGGCGCCCGCGTCTTGACTGGCGGCCGTGGCACCAGCGGCCCCAGCCGAGAGAGCGGAGGAAAACAAGACAACATCGGCGGTAGATAGCAGAGGCGGCGGCAGCAGCAGCAGTACGCGGCCACGAACACCGCGCGTGGACCTTGTCATCACGTTCGCGGGCGCTTGTCGGAAGCGTGTTGCACAAACGTATCGAACTCGTTTGATCATGTCATTCACGAGTGATAACGCAATAATGCAAGAGGCAAGGGCCCTGCCACATCTAGCATACCCAAAGCATCCACGTAGCCGCCGGAGGCCCCCGTAGAACGGTCGACCTCCGCGTATTTCAACCATTGGTGTTGCTGCTTTCTCTGTCGTGAATCCACTCCATGAGGGGGAATAAACAAACATCTGTCCGACTCGTGTTCCCCCCGCAGGAGCTGCCGCATCTCAGCCGCTGGTTTGCCCTCGTGGGTGGCGTCAAGGCCGTGTCTTCAGCAAAGGGGGCGATCATGGCGCTGTCCAAGTCCGCTGGCGGCAAGGGGAAATCGACAAGCCGCGGTTTGTCGGGAGGAGGGGGCGGGGGAGGGACGAAGAAGCTTCTGCAGGGTTGTCCTCCTCTGGAGGGCGCCATCGATGGGCAGGTAGTGACCCGATTCCCGCCCGAACCCTCTGGCTACCTTCACATCGGGCACGTTAAGGCGTGCCTGCTGAACCAGTACTACGCCCAGCACTACGGTGGAAAGATGATCGTCCGGTTCGACGACACCAACCCCTCCAAGGAGAAGGAGGAGTACGCCGCCAGCATCGTGCAGGACCTGGCGACTCTCGGGGTAAGGGATGCAGGTTGTCCTCAGGGCTTGGCTTTATCTCGATGTTGTCGCCTTGTCGCTCCGGTTGCTGTCGTCACCGGCGTCTCGAGAGTCAGTCACAGCTAGTAGCCCCCTTGTCCCGATTTTTGGTCCTCTTTGCTGAACATTTTGTTTCCAGGGATAACGCCGCGTGAGCGGTGTAGTGTTGCGTGCATGCCATCCCCGATCTAACCCCCTCTCTGGCTCTGCCTTGTTCCGAGCGTTCCTAGATCCGAGCGGACATGGTGACGTACACCTCAGACCGCTTCGAGGAGTTCAAGGACTACGCTCTGGGCATGATCAAGAAGGGGGACGCGTACATGGACGACACTCCTCAGGTGAGACGAGAAGAAGGAGTGCGCCGTTAAGGCTCTGGCGGCAGACGAAACATATGTCTAGTGAACATCCTGTATATTTTTCGAAGTTAAGTTCCCTCTGTGCTGTCTATCATTTTTTGTGTTGCCTTGTAGCGCTGCTTGGGATTGTGTTCCATCTTGGTTAAGTAATCATGTCGCCGATGCATGTACGTGCTAGGGTTAACCCACCAGAAACATGGTGGTAAACGACAGGAACGAAATCACGCACACGCCTAGGGGAGCTACTCGCAAACAGCAGTGGTGTGCTGGCGCTGCTGCTACGGTATCTCTATCGAACGCAATGTTCCCTGCTTCCTTGGTTCGCCAATGTGTCTTTGCTCATTTCTGTCTGTATGATGTTGGTTTGATGGGTGTCGCAGGAGGTGATGAAGGACGAAAGAATGAGCTTCAAGGCGTCGGCTAAGCGCGACACGCATGTCAAGGAGAACCTGAGGCTGTTCCAGCTCTTGCTCAAGGGAGACAAGGAGGCAGAGCCGTATTGCCTCAGGGCGAAGGCAGACTACGCGAGCGTCAACGGTGAGTGACTGCAAGTGGGCGGAGAAGATTTTTGCGTAGGCGGGACAAGGCGGACTGATCAAAGCATCCCGAAGAGGGAGGGAGTCAGGAAGGTCAAAGAAGAGAGCTCGAAAATTGAACCCGATGTTAAAAACTCCGCGCCACTACAGCAGTGTCCTCGCGTCTTTCGTTCCTACACGCGATGTCTGTGCCGTTCTCGGATGGTTCCGTTTTTCCTGCTGGCAGGCACAATGCGAGACCCCGTCATGTACCGAATGAACGCCACCCCCCACCACCGCACGGGTACCAAGCACAAGGCCTACCCCACGTACGACTTCGCCTGCCCAATCATCGACTCTATCGAGGGGGTCACGCACGCCTGCCGCACCACGGAGTACCAAGACCGTGACGAGCAGTACGCCTGGTTCCAGGCAAGATACCACAGCAGTTCAATTCTGCTTTGATCTTCTTTTGTGTATTATACCGAAGTTCGTTCTTCGTGCGGTTAATTTGTTGTTTTCATTGCGGCCTCCTTTCGGCGGCGACGTTTCGAAGTCTCGGGCGCAAGTTTGAACGCTTCTTGTGGTAGGTCTGGGGCGGTTGCTGTGCTTGAATTTGAATGCACGCCAGCAGGATGTTTCTTGGTGCATCTTCCATCTTCCTCACGTTGCTTTTGTTCTCCGGTGAACCGAACAAAACAAAACAAAACAAGGACAGGCATCTTGTCTCTCGTTTGCTTCCAACTGCTTTGGCCGAACGAATATACTTCTTCCTGGAACTATTTTTTGACCTTGATGCACGGAACACGACGTCCCTCCAGGAGAAGCTAGGCCTCCGCAAGGTGGTGGTCCACTCCTACGCGCGAATGAACTTCATGCGCACGGTCCTGAGCAAGCGGCACCTCGGCTGGTTCGTCGAGGAGGGCAGGGTAGAGGGCTGGGATGACCCGCGTTTCCCCACCGTGCAGGGAGTCATCCGCAGGGGTGTCAGCCCGGCTGCTCTGAGGGACTTCATGCTGATGCAGGTACTGTATATTGTTGCGGCGCTACTCGCCATGGTTTGTGGCAAGGATTAGGTGCGGGTATTGTGTCGTGTTCGCAAGGTATTCGCATCACCCAGCTGTCGATCGATACAGCAGTCACAAGTCGGATCTCAAGAGCCCAGGTGCCTTTCGAATGCTCATCTAGGCTCGTTCGTGTTCCGCCCACGTTTTGCATCCGTTTTCATGGCGGTCGAAAAATAACATATATGAACAGGGTGCCTCCAAGAAGGTGACCAACATGGAGTGGGACAAGTTCTGGTCGACCAACAAGAAGAAGTACGAGCAGACGGCGCACCGCTACATGGGTGTGTTCAAGGACACGTGCGTGGAGCTGGATATCGAGAACGCTCCTGCGGGGGACGTGGTTTCCATCCCGGTTGCCCTCCACCCCAAGGTTTGTCAGAAGTGGGGGCGTTTGAACGAGGGTGGGGTCGGCGGGTTATCTTGGGTTATCTTGGCGTGTCTTGTTGGTGGCGATGGCTCTGCATGCAAGCTCCCATGCTGGTCACGCGCTTTCCTCAAATTGTGTGTGAAGAGTTTTACTGTTTTACTGCAGTAGTGTTTACACAAAAATTTACTGAATCTACTCCGCTGGGTTGAGTTTTTGACCGTTTGATGGCCGTCTCGAAAGCATTTTACGGCTTTGCACGCGTCGGCACCAACCGCTGACAGTCATACATGAGGCTACCCAACCAATCTATCTCTCCGTTCGTCTGTTGCCTGTCCTACCTGACTGACTTGATTGTCTCTCAGCACCCGGAGATCGGCCAGCGTGCGATGAGACTATCGTCCGTGGCCCTGCTGGAAGGTGGAGACGCCGACGCTCTGGCTGAGGGAGAGGAGGTCACCCTCAAGAACTGGGGCAACGTGAAGATCAAGAAGGTCGACAAGGACGCCACTGGTGAGAGTCAAGACGGCTCCGGGTTTCGGCGTGCCGTTCGAGGTTTTGCTGTTCGTTTTTGCTTTGCTGGCTGCTGTGCTGCTGTTGTGGGAGAAGCTCTGCGCTTCGGCTGGCTATTCTTCCGGAGACCGCTTTAATAGCGGATTATACGGCCTTGCTTCGTTTGATAATTCGCTCATGGTCTTGATCTCCTCTGCTGTCCTGACTTGTGTTTTTGTGATGTTTTTGTGATGCTGACGCGACGAGTGAGTGTCTCACACCAGATGAATCAAATCCTGTCCCGTTCGCTGCCGAACCACTGATATGTATGCTAGTGACCTGGACCCTCGAACCACCTGTGTGTGTAAACCCAGGTAAGGCAGTGAAGCTGTCGGGCGAGTTCATCCCGAACGGAGACTTCAAGTCCACCAAGAAACTCACCTGGCTGGCGAAGGTGACTGACTACATACCTCGCCTGCTTCTTGTTTCCTAAACCGACTTTGTTTTGGTGTGTGGTGAGACAAGGACTCAAATCAGGCGTTGCTATTTTACGGGGTGCCAACGGAAACTTGAGTCGACAAGATCGTCTTCTTGCTTGGTTTCAATGTCCGGGGTATGCAAGTTGCATGGGCTATGGGTGCGCTGGTGGCATCGATACAATAGTAGTGCAATACAAGTACAAGTGTGGGGCATCATGGCCTCCGTACGAAAAGTGGAGATAAGACGCCAGACGTGACTGAATCTATACCCGTCGGGTCTGTTGCTCCTTGGTTGTTTCTTTGACTTCACCGTTGCCCGTTGGCGTTTCTTTTGATTCGGGCCCCCAGGTACCGGACTTGGTGCCAATGGTGCTGGTGGAATTCGACTACTTGGTGACCAAGGACAAGATCGAAGACGGGGAGAACTTCAAGGACTTCCTCAACCCAGTGGTGAGTTAGTTATCTACTTCTATCTATCCAACAACATGGCAATTCACGTGAGGGATGGTGACGCAAGAGTTCGGTGCTTACGCCTCACGTTTTATTTGGTGAAGTTGCTTGCTCCGAAGGATATGCCACATGCATTTTGATTTCTAGAAAGGCGCCCCTTTTTGGGGGGTAGTTGTCTTGTGACCACGGAAGGCGTCTGTGTCAGTTGGAGCCGTATGTACATTAGAAAGGTACTGGCGGAGACCGGAATGTCTTTTTGGTGTAAAGACAACAACAACAGGGCGAACAACAGACCAATCGAAATTATCATACCCAAACGAAGAAAACTGGCGCTTGCTCGCAGTTGCGCATCATGACGTCATCGGTCTTTCACGGCAGTTTTGTGGACGACCCAGCCGAGTTTGGCAAGATTTCCCAAACAGCAAATCCACGACCTTCGTGTGTTTTCATTCAATTCTGGCATTGCTGACCCCGGGAGTGAGAATGTCACAGATCCACCCAAGTCCAGTATCCGGCAAGTGTCACTCCTGCGTTCGCATAGTTCTCAGACAACCGTTCTTACAATCCAATCCAGCCACGAAGATGTTCGACCAAAGCACAGCTTATTTTCTTATTTTGCCATCTTACTAGCATATGCTTTCAGTCGACCGTATGCATATATGGCTACCTACAGTAGCCGACCAAACCGGTTCCCAATGTTTTCATCTTCACACGCACGACCCTGTTGGGTGCTTCCTCAGAACCAACCCCGCCGTCCTGATGATCCTTGGTTGCTTATACTTGACCCCGATCGGCCGAACTCGAAATGAAACGGCAGACTCGCGCGGAGACGGCGGGGCTGGGAGACCCCGGTCTTCGCAACATGCGCGAGGGAGACGTGGTGCAGCTCGAGAGGCGAGGGTTCTTCCGCGCGGACAAGCCGTACCGGGGAGAGGGCAAGCCTCTGGTGCTCTTCATGATCCCCGACGGCAAGACGCAGGCCATGTCCACCCTCGCGAGCACCCTCAAGCACGTCTGATTCGTTTTCTAGGTGGTGGTTTCGTACAACCATGATGTGGTAACCCTAAGTTTGTAGGGTCCATAATTTTTTGTTGGGTCTCTATCGGTGGATGTGGTGGGTAATACTGCTGTTTCTATCCCGATGAGCGCTTCCTGAACTTTGTGGTGGTTGTCTCTTTCGCATAAAACCGTTCTGCACTCTACGTTGCTTCCTGTTGGGATTTGTGGAAGATTCGCGAGATGAATGTCACGCATGCGAGTCTCTTGACGGTGCCCGGTTGGGTTGTTGGTGGGAAGACGAGCATAGGTCCATGGTGTGTGTCGCGTCGGTGCTCCCAACGAACGAACGTAGTCGGGCTTTGATTGGCCGAGTCTTGCGGACCAAGGTCGACACCCGCTACTACGCTACTATGGTCGGTTGACTCCGCCCTTCCTGGCTTGTTCAATTCCGTCCCCGTCTACGACGCCTTTCTCATTTCGAGTTGGGGGACATGGGCGAAGCGCTCACGTCGGTCCCTTGGGGTCTCAACGAAAGACACTGCTATCGTTGTGATGCGCCGTTCGTGCGAGAGGACATGTCGCTGAACACACCCTGTTGTATAGCATGGTACCGTGCTCCGTTGGTACACGTCAGAGTGAAACGCACGCGTTGGACGCGTTACCCATTCGACGATTGTAAGTCAAAAAATGATTACTACCTAAAGGCTGTTCGCCGAAGAAATGCCTCTTTTTCGAGGATGATTGAGGACAATCCAAAATCTCAGCAAGCAGCAGCAGCAGCAGCACTGCTGTCGCTGAGCTGATGATGATCAGGGCTAAACATCTCTCCCATTCATCCCCTGACTGACTGGTGGTATCGGGTGAGGTGTGAGCGTGTGCACTGGTGACCTACGTGGTGGCGTAGGCTCCATCCATATCTATCTAAGCTTGCTTTGATGTCTCTCTCCGACCCTTCTTTTCGCGCTTCGCGCGAAATAATTAAAATTTTTTTGTTGGACCCCTATGTATGGGAGGTGAGCCCAAAATCTGGCAAGGTTTGAGTGGGCAGATCCAACGCGAGTCGCGATGTGAAACTGTTCGAATCGCGTGATGGATTATGAAGAACGATACAAAGCATTGATTTTGTTAGTTTTCTTTTCGTTTCCTTCCTGTACAGATTAACGCGATCCCCCTCCCACCCCCCCTGCCGTGACAAGAGGTCCACAACAGGCGGCACCTCATGTACCAAGTAATAGGATGTTCGCTAACGTGACTTAAGTGACTAATGTAGATAATAGGAAGAAACTTTTTTCCCGATAGTCGTGGCTCTTCTTGCTCCATCTCTGACAATTACCCCGATGCCATCACCCTCAAGTGGCACTTCGAGTATCTCCTGTTCTTCCCATCTCTACGTACACCCTCAAGGAATTCCGGCAGGTGCTTGTTCAATATCCTGTCCGAAAGTTGAGGCAAAAATTGACGCCAATCAAATCATTCCCCTCCCGTTACGGCAGTTGGTCCTCTTTACAAAGCCCCGTTCAACACCTCCTCCCCACTGGAAAAAAAAAGTGCTCCCCCCCAAAACAAAACCCTAGTAAATGAGACTAAACGATTGTACGACAAGATAAAAGAACCACACACCGTTCCGTCCTTTTCAAAACGAGTCCTCGACTCCTTCGAGCATGACAAACCGCGACAAAACTTACGGTCGCGTTGCAGGGAGAGCTGAAAAACGGCGGCGTTCCTGTACCAAATTCCCGGCCTACTGCAATACAACCCCCTCGCTAGTACACCGGCGGGCGCAAAACAAACCCGTTTGGCTGCACACGACAAGATACGACTAGGAACATCAACAACGGGTCCGAGAAGGCATCATCGTATATGATCGGATATGAAAAAGAGAGGAGTGTGACTAGAGGTCCTCAACAACGGTGCCGTCCGCGTTCCCCGGTGCCTCTTCTGCCTCTCCCTGGTCTGATGTCCAGAGGGTAAGGTTGTCCCGCAGAAGCTGCATGATGAGGGTCGAGTCTTTGTACGACTCCTCGGAGAGAGTGTCGAGCTCCGCAATCGCATCGTCGAACGCCTGAGAGATGATAGATGGAACGACGACAGGAGGAACGGTTGGGTGAGAACAAGTCGACCCCGCATCACATCGGACTCGCGCCTGACACACCTTGCCCTCGCACTTTGTTCAAGAGGGGCCTGGGACTAGAACAGCAAGTGCAACACCATCCAGAGTACTCACAGCCTTGGCCAAGTTGCACGCGCGCTCCGGGGAGTTGAGGATCTCGTAGTAGAAGACGGAGAAGTTGAGGGCGAGTCCAAGACGGATGGGGTGCGTGGGGGGCAGGTCCTGGTTTGCCAAGTCCGAGGCAGACTTGTACGCGTCGAGTGCGTCCGAGGCGCTCGCCTTGCGGTCCTCCGCAGACTGGAACTCGGCCAGATACCTATGGCGTTGGAACGGGCAGGAAACCGACATGATCATACAACAGGGTTCAGACAAGAGTGAGCGAGTGAGAATGGTTTGGGTTTGCCCCCATGCGAGCGCGCCCTGCAACGTGAATTTTACAAAACACCACAGCAGTTATTGTTTCCCCACACATTTCCAACCTCATTTCTCTTCCCGTTACAACATGGTAGACAACAACGGTCTCGACATTATTTTAATATTTTGCCCCGTTTCCCTTCATTCGGTAGTCCACCACAAAATCGACGTGATGCATACTTTTGACTTACAATGAAGCCCAACCCGCTTGCTGCTGTAGACATGAAATGACTATTAATACTGCTGCTGTAAGTAATACGTGGGCGCAACTTATGAAAATAACGGTGCCGTCATCATGTTTGGTGGCAGTGTGTGCAGTTGACGGGCATCACATCCTTGGATCTATTTCATAGTTCAAGTCTACTGTCGTGTTAAAATAGGCAAGACGTGAAGTGCCGCCGAGGGGACCGGGTTGTTGCTAAATACGTATGCACATATTCATGTACTTGGGATATGCGTGTAGTACATGCATGATGCCTATAAGGAATACGACCAATTTCACCGCCCAGACTGCAATCGTCGACTCGTGTATGCTTCTACACCTATAAAGGGGACACATCTGCCGTACGCGACGAGAGGCACAAGTCAAATTACCCGGCCAAACAGGATTCCGACTGCATTCTCAAAAACGAAAGGTACACCAGCGCGTTATTCGGTGCACAAATGTATGGACCACACCAATCATTGAAGTGCCATGAGGGCATAAGTTGTGCGCTTGTTCTTCCGACATGCACACACAACATAGTACGGCAGTCCATATGTCTCTCGGACGCCTCCGCTCCTCAGCTGCATCGTCCTGCTTGCCTACGGTCGCCAGCCCTCACTGCATGCGCCAGCAGGGTAAAGCGGGCACACAACTTGCGACGAATCTGTTGGATGTTTATTTATGGTTCACGAAATCACATCCGTCGTTTTCCTCACCGGTGGTAGTCGCCCTTCATCTTGTAGTAGAAGACCTTGCCCTCCTCGGAGGTGGAGTTGGGGATCAGCTCGGCCTCGATGATCTTGAGGATGTCGTCGCAGATGTCGGTCAACTCCGTCTCGATCTTGGACTTGTAGTCGCGGATGAGCGGCAACTGGTCGCTCTGCGGGCGGGGCAAACGAGCAAACGCACACAGCGGAACACACAACAAGCCCGAGCGCAGCCAAAAAAATAATGGGAAGAAGAGAACGGGGACAAAGTCAGTCGCGGATTGAGTGTACGCATCGGTAGCGTGTCCTGCCAAATGAACGTCCGCCTCACAAGGAGCGCAAGGAAGAAGCGGCGCGGTTTGGGCTGCTGGGCAGGGACAATCTGTCTCGTGTTCGGATATCCAGACCGGACCACCAGACGGACAGGCTTGCACCTGGTTGAAATGAAAAACAGGGACAGAAAAAAAAATCTACTGGCGCCTTTTTCTTCACAATTCGGATAAAACTGCGCGCGTTCTCCTTTGCTACCGTAGGCTCCCTACGGACGAGCTCTTACCACGGTGTCCTTGCCCTCGATGGAGCTGATCACCCTCCACGATGCACGGCGGGAGCCGATGACGTTCTTGTAGGCAACGGAGAGAAGGTTGCGCTCTTCCACGGACAGCTCCTTCGGCTGCTGGGCGACGGCCTTCATGTGGTCCACCATCTCATCGAAACTGCACATAACAAACAACAGATTGCCGACAGGAGCAAACGCACCGAGAGGGGTGGGCGCGCGTCAGCACATGAGAGAGCGATCGCCGCGAGGGACAGGGCAACAGCGGCGGGTAGCAGCACACGGTTCGCGCCATCACCTCGCCCCCCGTTCTATCTTCCCACCACCAACGAATTTATGCGCGCGCGTGGCCTTGTTTCATCCGCCTCTTTGTTGTTGTTGGCCGGACAAGGAGACAACAGTCCACGCACCATCGAACCAGCCCGCGCGTTCATGCGTCCTTTCAACCGCTGCGGTGTACCCATTGCACACTCGTCTGCTGGGCAAGCTTTCCGCCGCCGTAGGTTGCGGGGCGGGGCGCCGGTTGCGGCGCTTGTTGATTTTGCGCCATCCAGTTCAGTTCAAGAGAAAGAGGGCAGAATTTCGGCCATTACCAGCGGGGTTGAAGGGGGGTTGGGTCGTTTAGCACGAAACAAGATAAAAGCCAGGGGCTGGATCTGCTCACCGTTCTGCCTGCTCGGCGAGCTTGGCCATGTACACGAGGTCATCGCGGGAAGTCATGGTGTCTGCTGGGTAGATTTGTGTCGGGGGGCAAAAGGAAGCGAAGCACAGGAAAAGGTGTGTGTGTGTCCAAAGTGTGTGCGGTTTGGTGCCGCGTGAGAGAGGGAGACAGACAGAGATGCAGGAAAAAAAAAACATTCTTGTGAAACGGCAAAAAATGGAAGACAAATAAAATCCGGGAGGTTGTATCGGTTCGACGAGAATGCGAGGTTACGATACGTGCCCTAAAGGGAAGAACGAGAGAACGCATATACTGCAACCCTGTAGTCTGTCTCCCCACCCTACGAGAATAACACTGACGCGACAAGAAAATCTCCTCTCACTCGCAGCACTGCATACTACTGCTGTAGACGCACTCACATGCACCTTCGTAAATACTTGTTGATAGAGTAAGACTACACAGGAGTCCGTGGGTGGGATGCTGCTTTCTTTCATGTGTGGCAATTCATTTCTTGTGAGCGAAGTTTAGGTTTGATGGTTTCAGGCCAGGTTGCGGTAGCCGTAGCATATTCCAAGGGCAGAAACACATGAGTCTGGAACAAACCGGCACATGCACCTTGTACTTTGCATGTCGTCGCTGAAAAGTTGCTGCGGACGGCGAGGGGAACACCAGCCGTCCAGCCGTCCAGCCGTCGTATTCTAATTTCTCGTGAAGCAAGAACAGCTGTAGACTATAACCAACAAGAACTACGCTCCCCTCTACCACGCTATACTCAAGTCGTTAGCGGGTAGAGTGAGCGTGGTCTGTGGACACTGGTTACCTCAGAGCTCGTTCGAGTGTGACACTTTTTTTTCGGAATGGGTCGGCAGCAAAACAACTCGGCGGCAGCAGGTAGGTGATGCCGGGTTACTACGGGGGGGCTAGATTATAGAAGCCGAAATCAAACCATTACACAGCGCTGGGCTAGATTATAGAAGCCGAAATCAAACCATTACACAGCGCTGACAGTTTATAGAAGCCGAAATCAAACCATTAGACTGGTCAGCGCTGACTAGTCTGATGATGGTTTGATTTCGGCTTCTATAGGGCTTCTCTCGCCCTCCTTCGATCTTATGATCGTACAGCAACTGCTGCTGCAGCAAAAATATTACCATCATGTTCTCCGAGGAGAGCATCTCATGGCCGACCCGCAGTGATGCCAAGGTCCCAGCCTACTGCCCGTCGACTTGTTAAAACGTATCCCTCCAGAGAGTCAATCGTTTCCGACGGCTGTCAGGATTGAGTAAAAAAAAATGATCCCCCGGTGGTGTTTTTGGGCGCACTTCAACAAGCGGAACAACAAGGACCAACTTCGACCCTGTGGGTCAACATGCCTGTGGGTAATTCGTTTCTGTGTGTACCGCTGCAGGCCTTATAGATAAGAGGCAGGAAAATACCCGCCGAACGTCTTCACGGACCCTAGTTTTTCTTTAGACGACATATATATATGCAAAATAACGTAATGTACGCATGGTGGCATGAAGAACTTGCATGCGACGAGTCTCTGTTGTTGTGTGTATTCGCAGAACCCGAAGTACCACCGTAAAAGTAAGTGAACCTCACGTAGGCAAGTAAGCCTGTAGAATTCCCTGCTGGTGACGGCTACGAAAAGACACATACATTATTAGTTTGGCGACCAATGGACTATTTTTCCTAAAAATGGACGCGAATAGAAACACTCACAGAAGAAAGGGTTGATTGTGGGTATGGGAACAACAAGAAGAGGGTGTCGATGTTGGCTCATGGAAACAACACGTTAAAACAAGTGCCAAAACCAACCATAGATACGCGAAACAAGCCACCGACGACCACAAACTAAATAACCACGTGATGTAAGAGTTAATGTTCGGTAATATTCCCCGCAAATGATCGTGTGAGACCGAACTTGGATTATCCGAGACACCCAGCAGCCCTCTCGCCCACCAGATCTACAGTATCTCCGCAACAATCACTCGGGCAAGGGGTGGGGGAGTCGAATGAAACTTCCGCGGATGGATATTGGTCTTGAGAAGCTGAAGCTAAAGCTTCAGAATTGTTACTTCCACGCGTGCGTGCACACGCACGCACGGTGGGTGGTGTAGCAAAAACCGACACGGTACCGGGCGGCCGAGTGGCCCGAAAAAAGGACGGGAGTTGCATGCGCGTCCTCCGGCATCGAAAACTGTGGCTTCGAAAAGGCCCATCCCATAAAGGCAATCAAACTACCTCTCTCTCTCTTCCATGGCAAACCGGAAAGACAGTTGGGCCGGTATGAGTTAGTTTTCATCACCATTTGTTTGGCATCGTTTCGGTTATTCTTCTACAAGCTCTTCTCTCTCTGCTTTCTCACGGTACACGACAAAAAAAGTTGTACCCCACGCCCCCCTCCGCTCGGGTATGTTGGACTGACACAACAACCTGGGGAAACACAACAGCAGCAGTCCAAAGACATTTCTGCTCGAGTTGATACTACATCAAACGTTTAACATACGCAAAAAATGCAACAAGCCACGAGTTGTTTCTCCGCGGCAGCAAGCACAACAACACAAGGCAAAAAAAAGGCAAAAAAGAGCCCTATCGGCGACAAAAGAAACAAGGCCACGTGGTTTCAGTACAAGTCACTCAAGAGCACACAAATCCTGCAACAATCAAAAGAACATCCCGTCATTCCAAACGATCACAGGCCGCAAGGCGCATGGGCTAGGCTAGGAGAAAAGACGCACGTCGACCCTCATGGGGCGTAACGTAAAACCACGCTTAGGCTGTTCCACGCACATCAAATTCGTGTGAAACGGATGAACCGTAACATGTCCGATCTATCTCCGATCTATAATACAAATACATTTCGGAAAACCCGGCGCAAAGACGGTGTGAAAGCAAACTTCCATGGAACCACTCATTCCTCCTGTCCTCCATGAGAAAGAACAACTCACACAAATTGCACACACGGCCATTGTTCGATCTATGGCACCCTACCGGGAACCTTAATTTTTTAACCTGATATCTTCGATCTATGGCCCCCTACCGGGAACCTTGATTTTTTAACCTGATAACACTTACGTCCTTGGTCAGCCGGTCGTTGCTACCCAGTAGACACCACACACACACACAGGTCGGTGCCAGCTGAAGAACACACACATATGACACGCACACGCGCACACGCCTGAAACACAATACTGCAAACTTAAAAAACACAATACTGCAAACTTAAAAAACAAACATACGACAAACGACGAGAACGTTGACTGAAAAGACGGAAAGACAAAAAAGACAAGACTCAGACCAGTGCATGCACCATCTACGTGCTGCACCATACCACCACCGTAGCAGCAACGCTGCGCGCTTTAGGCTCTACGTTCCTGGTTCTTAGTCCATCTAGAGGCCCTGGGTCTCCGGCACGACCTCGAAGGACGCAGAGCAGGCAAAGACGGAGTCATCGCCGAACAAGCCGACGCGGATCTTGTACATTCCTCCCTCGGAGTCTCGTGGAATGACGATGTCATAGTCGCCCTCTGTTATATTTTTAATTGGGAAGATGAACAAAGAAGGAAGGCGGAGGAGGACGTGGGAGAAGAGCAAAATAAAATTAACACAAAAGTCGATGCTGGTCTTATCTTATCGTGTCGTCCTGCTCGTCGTTGTTGGGAAACCAAACAATGATAGATTAGCAGGGGGGGGTCTTGTCGCAGCAGCAGCAACAACAATCACCACCACCACCACACAACCAACAACAACAACAACAACGACAACGACAACGACAACGCCATCAACAACAGCATTGTAGTACAACTTACCGGTATCGTGGCAGCCGACGTCGGGCTTGTCGCAGACGGAGCTGACCCAGTCACCGCAGTCTCCGGTCCCTTCCGCATGGTAGAGGTCAATCTTGAATCGCCCCTGCTGTGCGCCGAAACCATTGTCGTAGTCAAACTGCTCGACGACGCAAGTTTGTTTGGGGCATCGAGGAGGAGAATTGTTCAGTGGCAGCAGGCAAGCCAGGCTTAGGGGAAACGGATGGTGGGGAGGTAGGTCCTCACTTGAATCATTGTTGAATCGGTTAGTCGTTAGGGTGGGGGTTAATTTGGCTGGAATGAAGAACTTTTTCGATATTGCTGTTGTTGCTGCTGCTGTTGCTGATGTTGGTCGTCGCCACATTTTTGGTCGCCCACAACGAAAAGTGTGTGTCAAAGCTGTCGGTACATCGCTCGTCGAAAGCCAAGACATGAGAAGAATGGTTTTCCTTCTTCTTGAAGACGATTGACTCACCTCTACAGTGTAAACAGCTCCCGCCACAGCAAGTGCGCCGGAGGATGGCGCCACCACCTCCATCGTCGGCCCGTCCTGGTCACTGGCATCCGCGGAACTCATCAGGTAAAACTCGTCCGAGCAACGGAACGTCTCCGTTCCGACCTTCCCAATCCGGACTCTGTAGCCGCTGTTTGAGTGTCCATCGACCGGCTCCGGGAGGGTAACTTGGGACATTAGGTCGTCTTGGTTCATGCAAGCGTCGTCCCCCTCGGCGCAAAGGTTTGTTACCCAGAAGCCGCATTCGTCCGCCTGTATATCGGGTACAAGGTGACACGGTCGTCTGTTGGGACCATAGTTACCCCCCGTGGGTGGGCGTGCCGACCACCGGAGGTCATTCCATTTTTCGTCTCCGCTATCGCCATCTATCAAGCATGCAGTCTGAAGCTACAGTAGAGGAGGTAAGGTAGTATTTTGGTACCCCACCGCTGAGAAGCTCTGCGTCTATTACGCCATTTCTCTGATTCATGGAGCAGTCTAATCTTGACTGCAAGACATTCCTAGACACGTAGGTTGAGGTTGTACCCAGGACACAAAAGGTTGAGTACACTGTTGCTGTTTTGTGCTTTTAAGTGTTTGGTATACCCTTGCCCTTCTACAGCAGTTAGTCTGTGGGTCTATTACGTATATAATATGTACGCATGTAAATTTGCATGAGAATGCGACTGGACTACAGCATATTGACTATGGTACTCTACAGCAGAGCGTAGTCATCCTATTGTGTACATTAGTCATGGGCCTATATATATATATGTAGTCCATTGGATTTGCAGAGCTTTTCTATTTTTTTTGTCCTACAGCAGTTGTACAGTAGTAGTCTACATGTAAGAGAGGTGTTTCCATCGTTGAGGTGGTTGGCTTTGACTACGGAAGGCGTTTGCATCAGCTTTGAACCAATACGGATAATATTAGACTGTACTGAGCGGAGACCGGAACGTTTTTGAAATGTGAAGACAACAACAACAACAACAACAACAAGAGTAGACCGAAGACTGTACACTGAACGTGGACCACATATCAACAGCAGTGTACACGGCAGGATATTACAGCACTGCTGTGTGTACAGTTAGTTGCTGCTGTGTGTACAGTTAGTTGCTGACGGCTTCACGGCGTTTTAACTCATTTTCCTCTCACCTCTTCAAAGCAGAAGGAGTACGAGCCGCAGTAGTGCAGGTCGATCTCGAAACGGTCATCCGGTGATGCGCCTTTCCACGACACGATGTACGGCCTGTAAGATATATAGAGTAAGACGAAGGAATACGAGGAAGACTGCTGTCAGTAGTGAGGTTAGAGCGGGACGCAACAGGCCAGAAAAGAGCACGCCCGCATGTTTACGCCAACAACACACCACAGTGTCGTGTATTGGCATGAGAGTCTGAAATCAGTGAACAGCTGAGATCATTTCTGAGAGCGAGCACCTACAGAACTACAGCCCTTTGCACTCGTTTGGGCTTTTCGAGCCTTTCGAAGGGACAAACGGCAGACGCCAGCCTACAGCATGTCACTCGTGCTGCCTCTGCCGTGTGCCAGCCCTGATGCGTCAAGCGGCGCGTCCTCTAAAAACTACCACTGAGTATATAGTGGTAGCGGTGAGCTTTGAGGTTGCCTCTCACATGTCTGACACGACTGTCTCAGCCACCGCCGGGGTAAGCACCCGAAGTGCTTCCGTGTCGGTGATGATGTTGCCCAGCATGCCCGTCAGCGCCGCGATGAAGGCCACAGATGACTTCATTTTCGACGATCCTTCGTGTCCTCGGCAGAGCTTCTACGTGACGGGTGGACTATTTCAGCGAACACACGCCGATAATAGCAGATGGTAGAAGGATGTGGGTTAGCTTGCTTGCTTGGCTTGGCTTGAGAGGTGTCGCGACAGCTTGTGATGGCCAGTAGCAGGAGGCAGAGAGGAGTGAAAAAGGAGGTGCGACGATCAAACTCTGCATCAGGCAACTACAGCAGTATCAGGACCCCCCAAGGCCGTTCAACCCTTTTTTTGTTCGGAAATCTACGGCAGAGTTCCGCCGCCTCTTTCCCGGAACATTCTGTAGGGTCCCCGGGGGAAGAACTGTCACCGATTACCCCCTGACCCGTTAAAAGGTGGGGGGTCTTGAGGCTACCATGATTGATGTACACCAAAGGCGGAGACGTGGCTGCCGCGCCGCCTCTGACCGATATAGTGCCTGCTTGTCGTTTGTCTTTCCCTTTTCGACATTCGTCTAATGCCCGTTGCGTGATCCTGCCCTACTAGAGTGCAAACCAGTTTCAGCCCTCGCTCTGTGCTTTGTGGGAAGCAAAGAGGAAAACGATGAGGAGAGTGAAGACATGCAGGGAAAATTACAGCGTACCACCCGTAGTTGGCGGGACTCAAAGGGGACTACACGAAAAAAATACGTGAAGAGGGATCGCAAGTAGGTACATGTTGGTCTACAGAGTACGTAGTGACATAAACAAAGAGCATGGCAAGCTTGGGCAGGGGGTCATGTGTGTTCGTACGGTTTCGGTTTCGCGTGATGTTTTTGGTAATCGGCGAAGACAACATGCTCACAGAGCAGGGCTCTACATATGCATACGGAAATCCTCTTTAGAACGTCGAGTGGGGTGGTCTGGTGTCGCAAGCCAAGTAGGAACAGACCGTGCGGGGATCAGAGGACCAGATGTCACCTGGTGCAGAACAGTAGTGTTCTTACGACGAGCGAGGCAGATTGTCACACCCACCCTCCCGCCCTTTGAAGGCATGTACAGTAGAGGCGTCGAACGTCCGTTCTCCAGCACAGACTACCTTCAGATGCCTGCCCGAGAGCCGCAACACAAAATCAGTTTGATTCAAATATGGCTGCAGCAATTCGACCTTGATTGGCATCTTACCCGTGCCGTGATAGCACATGTATGTAACATTTCTCGAGCACCACCGAAAAAAGACACCAGGAGCCGTTTATTCGGGAATGGACTTTGTTGTGGTCTCCAGCCTCCCCCCCCTCGTGCCTGGGACTCAAAAGACGGCGAACATACCGCTACACGGAACCCAGCCACAACCCGAAAGCCCCCAATGGCATGGCCTGTGATAGCCTGCGCTCCATGATTCCGACCGCTATCACAGCAGTTCTGGCAAAAACGCCTGGGAGTATTTACCATATATTTTACACAAGAGACGGTGGAGAAAACAACCCAAAATCACGGGTAGCGGAGGTAAAAAGTCACCGAACAGGTCTAGACCAACCCTAGCCAAAATCCAAAAGAGAACAATTCCGATCTCGAGCAGACCAAGACCAAAGTCAACGAAAATTCTGAACCGCCTTGCCAAGAATCGAGCGAAACAGCTACGCAGGTACTAGTTGTGCATGGTGCAACATTACCTAGGTTTCAAATCAAACCGAGTAGAGACATCCAGAGCGAGCGCGACACGACAGCAAACAGAGAGCCACGCTCGTAAAAAACATTCGAGAGGTCAGTCACCCTGGTGCGCTGCGACACGCGACCCTCCTACACCCGGACTTGCTTCCGTCTCCGGTATGGTTGCCCTTTGCGCACGATGGGGCGACTCTCGCCCGCGATGAGGTCAGTCGTGACCGCCTCGCCCGCAAGCACCCCGGACTTCATCGCTCCGTCGAGGGTCGGCGTCGCTCGATGATCACCGCACACGAATATCGCGTCGTCCACCTGCCGTTGAGTTAAAAATAGTTGATTTCAGCCCCGATGGTTGTTGGCTGTAAGAGTCTGAAGCACAAACGTATATCTGTCCAAAGCGCATGAAAAACAAACACAGAACGGTCTCGTATGAACAGAGAAAAGAACACTGCGAGCTTGCAAAAAGAAGCAACCGAACAAGTGGAAGAGAAGGCCAGACACGAGGGAGGGAAAAAAATTCAGGCTCAAGAGGACCGACGGCCTTTGTACAATCTCACCTGGACCTTCCTCCCGTAGAACCCACCCTCCCTGACGGGTGGTCGCTGCGCAGGCTGGGCGTACGGCACGCGGTACGTTCGGAGGTGTTTCCACTTGGCCACGTCCGCCCCTCGCGTCGGCAAGCCCCCCGCCCCCGCGTCACCCCCCTTGTTCTTGTCGAACCACTCCGCGAGGTGAGCGCGCACCTTCGCCTCGAGCTCGCCGTCGCTGCAGTCGGGGCTTCCGACCACGGTTACAGACGCCAACGACTTTCCCTGCAAAGACACCCGGAGGGGGGGCGGGGGGCAGGAAGCAAGCACATGGGAACTCTGTTCAACTTTGTTCCGCTCGACAAATCGGTGTGCCCGGTGCTTGAATAGGTCTGGAATCTGAGTGAGTACAAGTGGATAAACAACGATTGCGTGCAGGGCAAATACATCGTCAACGTGTCATTGTCACCTACGGGGTGGTGAGGCTCTAGCGACAGTTTCGTCGTGAAAACATAATACGTGCGTTGAATTCGAAGCATGTGCTTGACTGCTATTTAGCATCGGTCCTAGCCAGGAGACCGAAAGCGGGAAAGCTATTAATTACCCAGCGGAGTAAAATAACAACGACGGTACGGTACGGTACGGTACGGTACGGTACAGTACAGCAGTACCCTGAAACACCAACGACACGCTCTACAGAAGTGCGACAAAAAACACGCCAGTGCTGGAAAGCACGTCTTTCAGACTGCTGCAGCGTACGCACATAAGTTGGGGTGCAAAAAACAACAAACTCGTGTACACGGGTTCTCGGCGAGCATGACAGCACGCACCAGAATCACGCACAGGAGAAATTAAGATTCAATAAATGTCATCCTTGTGTAATGTGGAGTACGAGAACGTACCGCCGGGGCGTAAGATGGCGCCGTTTGCTCCAAGAAGACTACGTTGTTCACTGGCCCGCTGGACTTGGCTCCTTCCCCATTCAGCACCAAAATCGGCCCACCCACCTGGCCAGGGAAGCAAAGCAGAGGGGAAGGTGGTGAGAACACTTGTAGAAGGAGAAAATAAAACAAGAGACACCATATTTGGCGTGTGCTTTTTCAAATATGCACAATTAGCAGGACGCTCGACTACTGTAGAGGGCCTTCGTTGTGCGCTCACGGCGAAGAACAACAGCAGTGGAGCCGTGGACGGCCCACGACCACGACAAAAAGCGACCGATCATGGATTAACGCGTAGACGAAACAAGGTATGAGTTTGGTTGCTGTGCTTTGGGGATGTTGGGGTGAAGCCAACACGGAACCACAATACACGCACACACGCTGTGGTCGGTCGATCAGGCAGAGAGGGGTTGCCGGCCAGTCCAACCAGTCGCCAACTATTGCATGCAAAACAACAAAGGCAAACGACCCGCCGCACATATCAGACGAAAACACCCAGCCGGCCAATCACAGGCCCACAAAACCGATGCCCGACAAAAGACTATAAAGCCGACCAATCACAGACCCACAAAACCGATGCCCGACAAAAGACTAAAAACTACACAAGCCAACCAGGTCAGCGTCTCAACCTTGACGAACCCAAATCGACTTACAATCACCCCCACAGACATCGGAAAAGCCAACCAAGGCCAGGGAATCAACCGAAACAAACCCAAATCGACGTATAATCACCCCCACACATCGACACTATTCTACGTGCAACAGGACTCTACTCACCGGCGCAGGCCCGTCGATGGCGTAGTACAGGCACGTGCTCGACCTCCCCGTGCTGGGCGACGCTCCCCCGCCGAGAGCGGCCTCCTCCCCCAGCAACTCCGCGGCGACGGGGGCCTCGGTGGCCACCACCGCCGCGTGCGCCAGCAGCTCGCTGCCGTCCTCGAGGGTAAGCCTCACCCTAGGGGAGCCGTCGAACGACCCCGAGTAGGGGAGAAGGGCGTCCTCCCCCCCCTCGTCGTCATCGTTGTCGTCCTCCTCGATCTTGTCCATGGACATCACTTTCGTGTTCAGCAGCAGGCACCCTGCCCATGGCGAGAGAACACGGTGGGTGGACGGACCGAGGAGAGTTGAGTGCTTGCAGGCGGGGAGCGGAGAACATTGGTTCGCGAAGAGAGAAAAAAGCGCCCGGCGAGGTTTCGACATCAAGCGGCGAGGAAATGATCTCCCGGCATGGCCTCGAAACTGCTGTGAAACAGCGGGACTGAAAAGCGCACACCTGCTTACTGTACATAGGGCTGTGTATAACAACGCCGATAACAACGGCTGAAGGACCCAATCAACAAGTGATGCTGCAACGAACGTGTTTCGCGTGTCAGAGGGAAAATCTTCCGACCTACGCAAGACAAAACTTGCAATCTATCTATGTACCATTGCCCGTCTGTGGCACATTGTCATGAAGGACCTAGACCAAGCACCCCTTACCGTCGGGCAAATCGGCCGCTATTTGCTTGGGCACCTCTCCCATGCCCCCCTCGGGCAGAGAGGCGGACCCCACCGAGAACATCTTGAAGACGAAGTTGAAGAGGAGGGACGACTGCTCCTCAAGGGGAGAAAGAAAGATGCCCTGATGATGACGACGATAGTGGTGATGGTTATGGTGGTGGTCCGAGTCAGCCGTTTTCCCGCCGAAGAAAAAGAGAGGAGAATGAAGGGAAGGGAGTTGAGAGGAAAATAATTACCATGCCGCCGCGTGCCAGTTGTGCCAGGGCGAGAGAGCAAGGGGGCATGACAGAGCACTGCGGAGTCAAACGAAACAAGTCACTCATAATATCTCTCCCTCCCTCTCTTAACCCCCTTACCACGCACAGAAAATTCGGCGGTCTTGCGAAATTTCTGAAATGTAAGAAAAAGAGCGAACGACGCCTGCTGATTGGATGGTGCAGACAGTTCCATCCCTGGGTGCAAGTGCAAAGCTGCCTTCCCACTTGAGCCGTCTCTTGTGTGTAATCCCTATCAATTGTCCCCTCGTAACGAGGGGACAATTGATAGGGATTACAGACAGCAACTGGCGGGAGCGTGGTAAACGGGGCACGAAAAGGAGGTTTTCAAGATATTTCTCTAGAGGGAAAGCGAGACCTTCTAACTCAAGCCCTAGGTTGCTTGGTGCCTCCTATCAGCGGTGGTCTAGGTACTTCTTCCGCGCTTGCCCCTAGAAGCGCTTTCCACCCAAGGGTAAACAGACGCGGCGCAACTTCGCTGTTGAACCGGCGGCGTAATCGCCCCGCGATTCGACCTGTTCATTACCCTCATACTCCTCCACTCTACAAAGCATCCATACTAGACTAGAGTCGTCCCTGTGTACCCTGGCACCCCCCTGGTCGAGTAGTGCAAAGGAGGAGACAATCATGCCAATCTTCGCGAGGTAAAGCAGGTGAAAAAGATGGGGACAAAAAGTGTCCCCAAAAGGCGATCCAGCCCTAAAGGGGTTAAGCTGGCGGTACCCGGCCGTTCTGCTGGACTAGCCTGCTTCGTGCCGTACATAATGTGTGGCGTGCCAACCGCACAGCTCATTGGAAACGGGAGGCCATGCTGTGCTTTCGAACATGAGAAGAAGAAGGGGGGCGCGGGGGCGTAGAGACGTTGCGTTCTTTTCACCTCCTGGCGGATGTTCCTCCAAGCATCAAGAGCCGAACCACAAAGTATCATTTTTAAAATCCGGTAAGACATGCCGCCTTACTTCACCACCCTCGAAATTTGCATACACCGTCCGCACGGCTGACGGAGCAACCGATTCCGAATACCCTTTTTCATAAAAAGAGACACAAAACCGCATCGTTTTGGGGGAGCGCTAAGCGTCTTACCTGGTAGAACGGAGCGAAAAACCTCGATACCATGGTGCTGCTGAGGCCTAGGGTACCGGTCAGGAAATCGTATGTCGTCTCCTCTGGAGCTCCAAATATTTCCTTCAGGCGCGATCGTTGCAAAATATACCACGTCAGCTGTTCTGCTTGGATGGAGAGTGACACGGCTTTACATCTCACAAGTCAACCATCCACCACCATCACTACCACCCGTGTGAGGCAACAGGAGCAGCAGCCAATCAGTGCTCCGATGGTATCTGATGCTTAACAGTCATTCGTCCGTGGGCTTGCAGCGGTGGATGGTGCACGAAAGCGGATGTTTTTTATTCCATTTGAATGCACAATACACATTCATATGGCTTTGCATGCATAATACATACCATATCAATCCATTCGATGATGAAACAATGTGACGGCTTTAAATAGACCTCAGCGATATTTACTTCTTGCCCCAATGAGTCAGCCGTGCAACGAACAAAGCAAGAGACAACCAACAGTTTTTTCGAGCGCTTGCGGCCACCACTGCCGGTTGTTGGCTGGGGCGAAAAGGGAAAACGCATCACTTCTTGATACTTGGACATCGGTTTCGGCAGCCTGGCTGCGCAACAAAGTGCACACAGAACGGCTCCGAGCCGTTGTTGACCGTGTACGCGAGACCCGCCTACCTCGTCCTTTTGGAAGACGATCGCTATTCGGTGAAGGCCGACACGAATCTTGTCAACCAGCGTGCCCACGGGAGCCACCAACGCGTCCACAATCGCCCTTGGCGGTGTCGAAACGTTTCAAAAGGGCCGACGGCAGCCAGAAGAAAAGGCACACTTGTTGGAACCCAGGTTAGCCCTATACAGTTTATATCGGAACAATAACCAAGTTGTTGATTTGTGAGTAACGGTGTGGACACTGATGACAGGGGAAAGCACACGTTACAGCTTAGCGATCGATCCCTGTGGTTTGGTGGGCCAACGTGTCAGGGATTCTTCAAACGGCACAGCGAACGTAGCTATATAACAGACCTACCTGTTGAAGCAATCCTCGAGCGCGTAGTGGCAAAAGCACGACCCACCATTCCCGCTTTCCTCCAAAACACGCGGCAGATGCTTTTTGCCCACCTCGGCAACGAACAAATCGTTTTTCGAGGCATTCAAGACATACTGTATCCACACACTTGACTAATACTATGGCGGGACAACTGTTATATCTCACCCGGGTTTTCTAATGGGGTCGGACACGAGGTGAAACCCTCCGTCGTAACGCACGATCGCGCCGGGATCAAACTTTTGCAGTTTGAGGGTCTTGTAGTTGAGCTGTCGAGTAGGCTCCGGGTACGCCTCGATGAACACCTGGAAAACATGGGCGTTAGTAGACGCGCCAAGAAGTGGGGGGGAGGGTGCTACAACTGGTTGTTCTTTGTTCACTCCGATACCATACGCAGCAATTAATGTGTCAAACCAAAGCACAGGGAGCTGAACGCAACGTAGTGCAAGCGTTCCGTCCTCGATCCACAATGCCGTCGATTGCCTACCCCTAACGCCCCCGGGCATCTGTTGCACCACGTCAGATCGATCATACACACCTGCTGGTGCACCGAAATCAAAAACAAAAAGCGACGTGGACGAACACAGTCACCGCCAGGGCGCGCACTGACACGTATGGTGAGCCCTTGAATAAGACGGTGATACTACTACATGCAGACCAAATCCCGGTGCGATTCCTAGAACGAGCACCGTTTTTTGCCTCAAACCACAAGGGACAAGAACAACGTAAACCCTCTGCAGCATGCAACAACCCTCGCTCACCTGGAACCCCCTGTCCAGCAAAAATCCATCCACTTCATCGGTTCGGACACGTCCCCCGACGCCATCGGAGGCTTCCAGCAACCGAACCGAAAAACCCCCACGCGTGAGAATACGAGCGCAGACCAGACCCGCCACTCCCGCCCCGATGATCGCAACCTGCGCAGAAAACGCCAAACATCGGCGCAGCAGTGTTGTAGCATCGTCGCTCGAAGCAGCGAAGAATCGGCAGCAGATGCAGCAGACTCAGCAGCAGCAATAGCAGCAGCAGCAGAGCAGAAAACACTCGGTCGTGATGCCACGCGCATGCAAAGCGTTACACTCTACCTTCCCCCGCCCTGTCCTGGAAGCGCTTCTTCTTGTAGGGGAATCAATCGTGTGTTGATGCTGATACGACAAAACCGCGGCCCTCTACGGCCCTCCTGGCACTCTTGCCACACCGACCAGACGTCTAGCTTGGCGGGGCTCGGCTTCGACACGAGGCATTGCCTTCTACGAACCACAGGTATCAATACTGCTCTACTGCCCATTGTGCCCAACAATTGAGACAAGATCCCTCGCAATGTGGACCCCCCCCCCCTACACTTCTGTCTAGCCTACGCGGTTCGGTGTCGTTCCGTCTAGGACTAACATCCAACGGTCAAGATCCAACGGTCGTCCGTGACAGCAAACCCTTGTTGATGCCCATGGCCTTCTTTCTCACCTCAACCTCGGGGGGCTTCTTCTTCTTCACTCCAAGGGTCAGCACGGACTTCAAAAAATCCCACGGCTTTTGAGGTGAGGCGAGCACGACGAACGACGCAGAACGACGGGGGCAAGGCAATTGCGTGTCACTGCTGTTTGTCCGACGGGAGCGGAAGGCGGTCCTACAATATACGTTTGGGTTTGTGGAGTAACCCAGGTAGATGCAGGGCAAGCGACGACGCCCACGACAACCTTGGTACCGCTGCAGACGGATCCCCCCCCCACGTTGATACTACTGTGTAGAGCATTGCTGTCACTCTTAAGTACTGGGTGCTCGCCCTCACCTTGTTCTCCCCAGACTTGGCAGCCTCAAGCCGCCGCACACCCGTTGTCGATCTTCCCTCCCCCGCGGTTCTTCCCGCAAGTATTCCCCGTCCCGCGATCGCTCTTGATCGTCGGAACGAAGAGGGTAAGGCGGTGGTACTAGTGGCGCCACTTCCCGCGGCCCGCAAGCTGAGACTGAAAAGCGGCGAGAGCAAACGGACGAGATAAACCACGCCGGAGCAACAAGCAGCGCGGGGGCGTTCGTTGATCGCGAGTCAGTTCTAGAAAAAGGTAACTGCAAGGGACATTTTGCGTGCACACAGACAGCAGTAGGCACGCACCGAGATAGTGTTGGGAATATGTGGTACCCGGTACCGATCTCGCCAAGCGATCCTTGCCATGTACACTTCGATTGTGTCGTAGATTTGAGATGCTGGTTTCATACGAAGTAGAAGTAGAAGTTTGAACAGGAAAGGACACACCTTTTATCCAACCGGGTTGCCCGGAACATGCAGATGCGAGAGATCCATTTGATCTGTTTAATGCCCGGTCATGCATGCACTACCTAGAAGCACACATTCTTGTGGAACTGATGGTATGCTTTTGTGTGGAACTGATATTGTTCGTGAAGGGACGCACTCACGACCGACTTGGGGTCTGGGAGGGAGCGCTACAACCCTCTCTGTGCCCGCTGCGCCCGGACAAAACGCGTAACGCATGCATGCATCAGAGAAGGATCGGCGTCTCTGCGTCGATGGACGATTGGTAGCTGCTGGACATAGTTGAACCCGCCACCCCTGCAGCAATGGTCGGTTTTGTGCACACTACGCAACAGGGGCCCCCCAGGGGGTCGAGTAGGGTCCTTGGCTAATCTCATGCTGCCAGCGATGCAACATGAACATGTGACCGGAACAACCAAGCTACAGAGGGAGCGCGTCTCTGATATGCGGAGAGCTTGTGTGTGAGTTTATCGGCCTTGCCCTTCGTGGCACGATTGCTTGCCTTGGCTGATTGGCTGGCAGGAGCCACGATTCCGCATGCCACGCGGACCCTGACAGTAGCACCAACGCCCAGAGGTCCTTCATGCTGCAGCCGCCGTCTGCTCTGTCTGCTCCGTGCTCTGTGTGTCGCGCCGCGTTGAACCCGGGGGGGGGCGCGCACCACATTATAGGGTAGTAAGCGTTGCATTCTGCGTCTCCCCCTGATGGTCATTTTCGTCCAAGCACGTCCAAAGCACAGAGCAAGGTGACCGGATGCTCGCCCTGCTTGCTGTGTCGAGATGTCCACAAGATGTGTCACAGACTTCGACGTGACTTACGGAAGTGCACTGGCACCTGCGGTAAGTGTGGCGCGGCCGGTTCACCGCAGCTTCAAGTGCTTTTGCGAATTTGGAAAGCTCACGATTTATACTAACACACAGCATCTTGTTCGCTCACTGTCTCTACAACGTCGCCGGGTTTGTTCGACTCTGTTTTCTTGCTCTCAAACACGAGAGCATGCGGCGGCGCGTGTGCCTCACGCTCGCCTCAACCGTGTTGCTTGACCGTGTGCCATGACTGCTGCTATCGATTTTGCTGAGAATGCCTGTCTTGCTTGCTCCTTCGCAGGGATTTCATCGAACCACAACTCGGGTAGGCGGCAGTGCAAACCTCAACACGACCGCCAGCTCGCAGCAGAGCTTCCTGTGGACGCATGAGGGACTCAGCAGGGGCAATCCCGTAGTGCAGGTGGATGGGGGGATATGGACGTGCATGCCGTGTTGAAGATGCTTGCTGGAATAAACCTCTTGATGATTTGCATGCATATGCTTCTGCCGCCGCGGCTGATGCTGTATCCTCCTGGGTACGATCGGATAGTCGTCGTCCTTCATTCAGCATGACAATAAAGAAAAAATCATGACAGGGATTGACAGGCGGCGTATTTGTAGGATTGCGGGAGGGAGGTGGCCTTCGTCATTTTGCCATGTGCAAACACGACAACACTAAACACGGAAACATGCAATATGAAAACATACCCGACGCGCCCACCCATTGAGATACAAGACCGTGTTAGGTGTGGGCATGAATCTTAGTCGAGAGCCACAAGGTAGACGGTGGGTGTGTGCATCTACATGGACGATATGGGGCGCGGCCAAGGAGGTCATGCCATGCTGATGCAATTGATTTTCCAGGAGCGAATCGCGCATGCTCCGATGCGGTATGCATACGATGCGGAAGGATCCACATTTTCCATCACCGTCCACCACAGAACACCGCTCGTTACCCGCCACGCGAGCAAGCGCATGTGTTAACGTGACAAAAGTGACCCTCCCTGAAGTCTGTACTCCTGTTTACCAGCAGGACTCCTCCGCGATGCCACTTTTTTTTTGCTCACACCTTTTTTCGAAAGTAAACACAATCTCACAGAAAGACTACGTACCCGTTCGAGATATAAACCCAGTCGAAAGGGATGCGCTGGAGTCTTTACAGTGAGTGGAGGGAAACTGGCCGGGAACTGGGCTGATCTTGTTATCTGTAGCAACATTTGCACACCTCCGTCAACTCTTCGTACGGATGAGTGTTACGCTTGCTCACTTGGAGTCACGAACGAGTGTGTACTTGGTGGCTGTGGCTGAGTGCGAGGGGGCGAAGGACCCAGCTCGACGAACCGGTCAATCGTATCTGGTACCGTTGGGCATCTTGTCGGGCGGGCACCCACGACGCCGCAGCACTGAAAGTGTTTATGCAGACGATGAATTGAAATACAGCGATTCGACGCTGTCACCTGCCCGTGTGAATGAAGCACGCAGTGCTCCAAGTCCGCCTCCCGGAGCAGTTGATGCTGGCAAGATGCAGCAAACACCCTTTTACGCAGCCCTGTGAACACCGTTCGCGATGCGAGGCCAACCTCAAGGGCCAAATGAACCGACGATGTTCTCGGTGCATGCACCCCGCCGCGGTACCGTTTGTCCGCCTTGTTTGCCCTCTCTACGTCTCACTAACAACACGAAACCGAAACGTTTTTTCGTATTTTCAAGGTAAGCGTGACCTACGACGACGAGCCGGGGCCGGAGGGCTTCGAACGGGTGTCGCGGGACCTCGCAAAGGGCGGCACCAGCGGAAGAAAGGCCTTCCTCTGGCTTAAGCGCCACGCCCAGCAGATACCCAGGACCGCCAGCGCCACGGCCCTCGACCAACGGAGGCGTAGCTCTAACGACACGAAAGAATCGGGGCATGAAGCAGCAGCAGCAGCAGCAGACGCAGCGGCACAAGAAGAAGGGGATAGTGGCGTCCTACCGATCGGCGAAGTTGTGGTAGCGTTCGGGTCCTCTGACCCAAACGTCGAAGAGGCGACGGAAGCGGCGGAGCAAGAGCGCGCGGCGGGGGCGGTCGACGGCGCGGGAGGGGAGGGAGGGAGCGTGGAGGAACGGCGCGTTGTTCGAGTGTGGGAGCGATTGGATCGCAGCTTGAACCCTTCCACGGCAGTTGCGGCAGAGGACGATGGGGGGGGGCAGCAGCAGCAGCAGGGTGGCGGGTCGGCGGTTTTCTTGTGGTTTCGACGGGTTTCGGAGGAAGAGCCGCTCTCTTGGTCGGCCCACTCCCTGACGGTGAGACAGAAGGAGATGGTTGAGGAAAAGACATGAATGAATCACAGGACGAGCTACTTTTCTGTAGCGAGAGAGAGAGAGACGTGCATGTCGTGCGTGTCGTTCAGCAGGGTAGAGAGAGACCGGGACAAACGGACAGGCGGACAGGTACACGTTGGACATTGGAGGGATTGTTCGAGACAGCGCAACGACCCCGAAGCTGGAAAAAGGGAAGGGAAGGAGAGATTGGGTAGTTGTAGAAGTTGTAGTTGTCCCCTCGGCGAAGGAGAGCTCGCAAGCACACCCTCAGCTGTATGTATGCGTGTGTACAAGCACCATGCCGGCGTGGCCATGTCATGTACAAACTCTTAGGAGCTGAGGAGCACCAGCAGAAACGAAGCAATAAATCCTGCTGGTTGGGGGGTGCCCGCAATTTGCCCAAATTTTTCGGTATGTTTTGTGCGTATACTGCTGTTCCATTTGTTCGTGCCTAAAGGTGGGCGACTGGTTGGACGCCCGCGACAGCGATGGGACCTGGTGTGTCGCCCAGGTGGTGCGGATAGAGGGAGAGTCGATGCGAGTGCACTTCCAGGGGTACCACTCAAGATACGACGAAGACATTCGGGTGGAGTCTTTGAAGGTATGCAGTCGAAAGTATATGTGTAGGGCATGATCTTTCAATGCTGCCAATTCATGGATCGTGTAGTTCTGGATGCTATGCTATGCTAAGCGTGATGCTTTTCGCCAAGGCCGATTTGTGTTGTGGTCGAGGCCACTGCAGTATAAAGGCAGGCCATAGGACGGATGGCATACTGAAACACCACTCACAAACGTCACAAGCGCCACCGTCGGTATGACGACCAATGCCAATTAAATAGTTGTGTTTTGAAATGCCCGGTAATGAGCCTTGATGTTGCATGTGAAGGAACATGGACCTTCTGCTGTATCGACATATGTGCGCTTGGACGGGCTGTCACACGCATCGTGTCAATGTCAGGCCATGATTCAAATGGTAAGGTAAAGACGCCTGACCAACGCACATTTGGAACCTCTTTGTGCCGCTGTGTCTGATGTTGGCTTCTGAAGTTGGCGAAGCTGGGCACACATACGTCAGGAAGGGACACGGGACAGTCAACCAGGAGACCGGTGAGAGAGAGACCCACTCAGATGCTGCTCTGCTAGAAGGCCGATTGCATCGAGACAGGCTTGGTCTCTTGTAGACGTACCCGATGCCCATGCAGTGAGTACGTACATAGGGGGTTCGTGCACCAGCGACACAAGCGGAAACCCAGACCATGTTCTTGTCACCGGTTCAAGATCGAACACCACCGCCGCCTCCAACTTCCAACCCGTGTTTAACCTCAATACAGGGAGCCCCGTGGGGCATCACTCCGAACGAAGTTCGCGATGTTATCCGTCGAGTCAAAGGCCTTCTTCCCGAGGTGTTGCGGGAGGGGGAGGTGGGGTCGGGGGACGGTTACGGTGGCGGCGGGGGGCAGGGGCAACACGGCCCGGAGGCCCGTTTGTGGGAGATGGACTTGCCGGCGTTCATCGAGCGCTGCCTGTCGTCTTCGATTAACGATCTGCAAGCCCTGCCGTTCATCAACGATCTGTTCAAGGTGCGCTGTTCGTGTTGTAGGGCTGACGTCGTAGCGGTCTCGTGCCACCGCAAGGTAGCTTGTGGGTAGGTCACCTACAACAGCAGCGCAGAAGGACCGGTCATGGATCGATTTGTTTGAAAATCGGGCGAATTTCTTCCCTCAAAAGGAGGCACACGGTGTGGCGCTATGTAAGACATTGTTGTGTGCACGGAGCACAATTCTCATTGGCCTCAACACTTGCGCCTTCCTACCCCCCCCCCCACATACACACGACCCTCCGCCTTCGCTGCACCGCAGCTAGTACTCGAGATCATCGCGGTGCGCTTGTGGAAACCGGCACCGATGCCGCGGCACCTGCTGCAGACGATGTCAAGGCTGGGGCACGGTGATCGCCGGTGCACGTGGTATTACGCCAGCTACGGCCGTTCAAGCGGCACCCATGATGGACCGGCGTTATCACCAGGAGCGGGCGCGGGCGGAGGCGGAGGCGGGGGCGGTGGCGCAGGCGGCGGTGGCAGCGGTGGCGGTACCGGAGGGGTCTCGGAGGAAGAGTTTTTGTTCGTGGAGAGGAAGCCAGAGTGGGACAAGGTGTACGTGCAGCAGACGAGAGGGGGCATCCGAGCCGGCTTCCAGTCCGTGAGTCCCCCTCCACTCTGTAGTTGTGAAATAGTACGGCTGTTTCGGTACAACTGGAGGGTTAGGCGGTTCCCCTTACGGGCCGTGGCGGCGGAAACCGCTTTGGAGGATGCAGGAGGCAGCCGTTCGCAACCGCGTCGCGAAGTACTGTTCTCACCTTTCTTGGGCGTGCCGAACCGGAATCGACCGGTGACGCCCGAACCACCCGCCTTTGGAGTATTTGTTTTGTGTGGGTGGTGTAGAAGTCGCTCATTGTGGTCCGACTCACGCTTGCTCATCACAGTCTCAGCTCTTGTCGCCCCTCCCGCGCGACTCTGTTCTCGTAATGCAGGACGCGAGCCGGCTGTACGTGGCGAACATGAACCACTTCGGCCGGGCGGGCGGTTACGCCGCAATCCTGTCCAGGATCGATCCCAGCAGAGCCGCGGGCCCGGTGTCCATCGAGGAGTTCACGACGTACACCGGCTTCTTGGCGGTGGCGCCCAAGTGCTTTGCGTCGTTCTCCAAAGACAACCTGTGAGACGTTGCCGGCTCTCCCTGAGGGATACCTTAACCTTTGCTTGCGGTTTTTTCGCTGTCTGTTGCCGTATCCCGCTGTTGTCCAACCGGCGTAGCGACGGTGGGTTGGGGTCTGGCCAAGTCGCCGCGGGTGGTGATTGTCTACAGTAGGACCTCCTCTCTCTAGATCATCCCGCTGCTGCTATGTTACTTCACGTGTTGTGTTCTTCTGTCACGACAGGTACTTCGAGGACGTTAGGCGAGGCGTTATGGCGCGTCTTGGGCGGCTGTCGAATGACGAGCTCGCCGCCGACGAAGAGGCGGTGATGGCGATCATGAGCTCCCTCGGAGTCGTAATGTCGGCCATAGACATGAAGTTCAATGTGGGTGTAACAGCAGAGTACGCTGTTTTTTTTTTATGTATTTTTGTTCTTGTATCTGACGTGTATGTACACACGTGTGTATTGTTTCGATCGAGGCCGTCTGTGTCTTGTGTTACGTTCGCCTCGTACAGAGTCGCGAAGTTCTTCCGTGTTGCCTAGCGTGATGTGAAGAAGCGTGTTCGTTCACTTCTTGGTGGTTCACTCAATCTCTGCGACTACATGCCCCTGCCGCACTTTCTCACGCCTTCCAGCGCGTGCAGCGTGTAGCTCTGTCCGTCGGGCCGTTTCATTCCTGTGCTCTTGCTCTAGCCGGAGCGCTTGACGCCAAACACCGGGTACATTGTACGATAGGATATGTTGTGCAGTGAGCGCGGCTTTCCCCCGTCTCCGCCCTCTCGCTTGCCGCGTACCACCCGCCACCCTCTCTGGCTTTGTGTGCGTGGGCCCCCTCGAGCTTTCGCGACACGAGTGACTGACATCCGCCCCCTCTTTTTTGTGTTACTAGTCAGCTTTCTTTGCCCGGCCGATGCCGACGCACCCACCGTCTTGTCGCCGTCCCTGTTCCTGATGGGGTCCTGTCCTGTCCTGTCCTGTCCTGTCCTGTCCTCTTTGGCGTGTGTGTGTGTGTTTTCTCTCATTGTTTTTCGTCGAGAGCAGCGGACGGAGAACTTGGAGCGCTTCCACGTGATGTTCGCGATTCAGCTGATCCGGTGCCCTTTCCTCAACCCAAGAATCAGGGGCGTGACCGTTCTCAGCGACATCATCGAGGTCACGATCAGGAACGCGACGAGGTGATGGGTGGATGAATGCATGGATGGATGCACCGGTCGGCGGTGGAGAGCGACGCCACACACGCGCCCCGGCTTGTCGCGCGTTGTAACCAGCCCCACCTCTCTCTCTCTCTCTCTCTCTCTCTCTCTCTCTCTCTCTCTCTCTCTCTCTCAGTCTCTCCACAATTTGTGTATATACCAAATGTTCAGAATCTTGAGATCACAAGCTCCTGTGAGCCGCGGATGTGACGTAAACTGTTGGGGCTACCGAAGTCGTTATGACGTGGTGTCAGGGCATTCTGCCACGTGTACGTTGGCGCTTCATCTCGCCATTTCACGATTGGTCGTCGGTGCTCGTTGCTCGAAACGCATCACCTAGTAGTAATTATTGCATTCTCGTGAACGCTAGACGTTGAACTTGCCTTGTCTTTACGAGTGACGCTTGCCAGGGGATCTTCGAAGTTGTTAATGTTGCATGACGTCCAACT